CACAATATAAAAGATTCACTGTAGGAGTTATGAAGTTTTGGTTACGAATGCTTGAAGATGGCAACCGCCAAAATACTTGACCTGTGTCAGGCTGCAGCAGCAAGTGATGTCATAGACAGGGCCTTTTGAACACCTGCTAATGTTTTAAATGTATGGTTTATCGTAACTGTGCAAATAACGCTGTAAATTAAAATGTGCTATATAAATAATAATAGTTACTTCCTCTTACCCAGTTGTAGACTACTGGTGGAGGCAAGAACACTTCACACAATTTCCCCAGAAATTGTAGCTTTTCTAGTTATTATTATTATTATTATAGCAAAATTTGCCACCCTAACTCCTCCCACAGTTTTTACACTACATAGACAAAAATTTACCAAAACGTGCAGATTGTTCCCGATCGGATTGCTATTACTTTGTGGAACGTTTCGCCGAATGGTTCACGGAATATCGTCGTTCTTGTGGCGAAATTTGTCCCATAGGAATGAATGGCAAAGCTAGAGTGGGAGCTGGCAAAAGCTGAAAAATCAGGACATGATTTCTAAACTGCCACCACTCCCTTATTTTCAGGCCCACCTACACAAATCTTATATCAAAACGTTCAGCTATCCCTGCTGCCACTAAACATGTCAACGGCTAAGCCATAGTCCTGATAGTTTTCACAATATAATCATTTGTTTGCAACTAACGCCGTCCATTGACTTTCATTGAAACTTCACTCTGCAAAGCTCAAATTTGAAGTGCAATTTCTAAACTGCGACTGTGCCTTCAATTTTAATACTTCAGAGACATACTATGCATCAAAATGTAGGTCTGGGTCTTGTGATTCTCACAATATAAAGCTCTTCACTGTAGGAGTTATAGTTTTTAAGATACGACCGTTTGAAGATGGCAACCACCAAAATACTCTGACCTGTGTCAAGCTGCAGCAGCAAGTGATGTCATAGACAGGGCCTTTTGAACACCTGCTAATGTTTTTATAAATGTATGGTTTAATGTAACTGTGCAACAACGTTGCAATTAAATGTGCTATATAAATTATAACAGTTACTCCGCCCACTCCAGTTGTAGACTACTGGTGGAGGCAAGAACACTTCACACAATTTCCCCAGAAATTGTAGCTTTTCTAGTTAGTCAATAATTTTAGCAGCTGCTCCATTTAATATCCTCACTATTTATCTCAGGCACAGGTAAAAGCTCTTGTCCTTATATTGACATTACAGTTATAACAGCGAAGCTGTGTCATCATGACAAGGATAAACACACGTCATGTCGGATGCACCGTGCCATTGCGTTGGGGTGGAGTTACGTACATGCATGTGCACTAAACACACACGGAGGCCGCGTATCGCACTGAACACAACTGTAGTAAGTTTGATCCTCACTATTGTTGTTATATTTATGTATGTTTTATGTTATACTGTTAATCTGCTCCTGATGAAAGTCCCGGCAGTCGACTAAAACTTCGATCACACTGGACCTCTTGATTTGATAAAGAAATATAAGATGACTGTGAGTGCAGCCCTATTTTCCATTTGATATATATATATATATATATATATATATATATATATATATATATATATATATATATATATATAAATAATAGTAAGGTAGAACTCCCAGGACTTCATATGTATAAAAATTTACTTTTATTAGTTATAAAAAAAAAAAAATCAACGTTTCAGTCTGTCACAGCAGACTTGTATCAGTCTGACAGTCTGTGACAGACTGAAACCTTGATTTTTTTTATTTTCGAAGCTAATAAAAGTAATTTTTTATACATTTGAAGTCCTGGGAGTGCTACCTTACTACATTTTCTATTTTTTGCTGGTAAGCATAGGGTATTATATTTTCATTTACAGTGGGTGCAGGATCTCTTAGGTCTTTCCTCTGCAAAAGTTAATTACTTCAATACCCTCATAACCACACTCTCCCGCGAACCCAAACGAGTATTTCACACATTTAACTCTCTTCTTCACCCTACTATTCCTCCTACACCTACAAACTTGACCGCTTCAGACTTTGCAACTCACTTCACTGACAAGATCTCTACAATCAGATAAGAGATCTCTCATCTTTCTTCTTCCCCTTGCAATACTTCCCCTAACTTCACTCCCTCTGCTGTTCTATGTTCATTCGCACACGCTACATTGGAAGAGGTTTCTGCTCTGCTCCAGTCCTCCCGCCCCACCACCTGCTCCCTAGATCCAATTCCCTCGCATCTCATCCGTACTCTGTCTTCTTCTCTTTCTCCACCTCTCACTAAAATTCTCAATCTCTCTCTCTCCTCGCTCTATATTTCCATTGCCCTTCAAACATGCACCTGTAACCCCAATTCTAAAGAAGCCCAATCTTGACCCTAACTCCCCATCCAACTATCGTCCTATCTCGCTACTGCCTTTTGCATCCAAGATCTTTGAAAAAATTGTGTATGCGAGATTGACAGACTTCCTCGAGTCCAACTCTCTGCTAGACCCACTTCAGTCTGGTTTCCGGACTAAGCACTCTGTGGAAACTGACCAAAGTATCCAATGATCTACTCGCTGCAAAATCTCGTGGTCCTAATTCTCTTTGACCTGTCTGCAGCTTCTTCTCATCCTCCGCAATATCGGTCTACAAGATATTGCTCTCTCCTGGTGCTCCTCCTACCTCTCCCAGCGCTCTTTCAGTGTTTCTTTCTCTGGCTCTGCTTCTTCTCCCCAACTCTTCTCTGTTGGTGTCCCCCAAGGTTCAGTCTTTGGTCCCCTACTGTTCACCATCTACACTGCCTCCCTTGGTAAATTCATTAGCTCCTTTGGCTTCCAATATCATTTCTATGCAGATGACACGCAAATCTACCTGTCCTCTCCTGATCTCTCCCCGTCCCTCTTGACTAGTGTCTCTGACTGCCTCTCTGCCGTTTCTAACTGGATGGCTGCCCATTTCCTTAAACTAAACTTGACCAAAACTGAAATTCTGGTCTTTCCTCCCTCAAGTGTTGTTACTCCTGTGTCTGTCTCCCTCCAAGTCAACGGTGCTACCATCAGTTCCATCACGGAGGCTCGCTGCCTAGGTGTTCTCTTTGACTCCGACCTCTCCTTCAAGTAATAAAATAAAATAGAGTAATAATCACAGCAAGCAAGGTAATCCACGAATATCCCAATACAGATCCCAATGACTGGACGACACACAGCATCAGGAGCAGAACTGAACTTTTAATCACTCAACCTTCTTTTAAAGCATTCTCTCATGCAAGGAAAAAATCACCCAGATCGGACCAGGGGTTCAGGAGATTTGTGGAAGTAGTAAAAAGACCGACCGCGCTGGAGGGAAAAGCCAAAATTGGTTCCATGCGTTTTGGCCCTGCGGTCGGTCACAGAAAAAGGGAATAAACTGCACGAAAGACTCAGGCTTTGGAGACTAGGGTGGATTTGCATAAATCCCCTTGTTCGGGTGTTTCTTTCTACCGAACGGGTGGCCGTTTGGTAGTTTCTATACGAATTTAAGGGCAGTGTGGAGGTCTCAGCGGTGTTTGCCAAGCAGAGTGTCTGATTTGGGTTCCAGACACTTGACAGCAAAATACCGCTGTTCGGGAGTTTAAAATGGCCGCCGCCACGTGTTCGTCTCCCGAATGGCGGCCACCCAGAGGATAAAACATACACTACACGAATTGCCAATTACCCGTTTGCAACATTGTTGCGAACGGTAGTTGGAGGCACACTTACTCCTGGGGTGGTCTGATTGTTCGGTAGTTTCACTCGCATAATAACTGGAGTGATTTTACCGAACAATCAGTCGAATGCTGCATACATTTCACACATACATGGTACAATTTAACCGAACACATAGGAATATATATATATAATTTTGAGGACAGCCCAATGCCATCCGCTACAATTACTTTTTCAATACACTTAGAAAACCGAGAGAGTGCTCGGCTGGGAAGCACCCGGGTATTGTTTTAAGTGTATATATTTTTTGGGTTGAGTGCCAAAGCCTGGACATTTATATCTATCTATATGTAAAAAAACAGATAAAATGTGTATCTTGTAATACCTTTTTTATTGGACTAACAGAACTTTTTAATGACAAGCTTTCGGGAGAACCTCCCTTTCTCAAGTCTGAAGCATTTCTGAGAAAGAGGACACAGAGTTCAAAGTTGAGTTGTGATAGTGGAAAATGTATTCATACTTATCGTAATTTTCTTATCCTGGCAGCATATTCACATGGGTTAGCTCCGCCCCATACAGCTGATAGGACAGGAATTAAACAGATTCTTATAAAAGGAGGATCCAGAGATGAGTCCCTCAGTCAGTAACAAGCTCTTACAAAAGAATTAGATCCATAAGGGTGGGTAGTATATGCTGCCATGAAAAATAGGCAGGAAAAGAAAATTACAGTAAGTATGAATTAAATTTCCACTTTCCTGGCTAGAAGAAGCATTTGCCACAGAAGCCCAAGATGCTGAGATAGCACGAGTAGAGTAAGCCCTGATATCTGTAGGAACCGGTAGAGATAAGCACTTATAAGCCTTAGAGATGGCCGATACCACCCATCGTCTCAACGTAGAGGTAGAGGCAGCTTCACCACTCCTGTGGCCAATAGGCAATACAAACAGTCTGGACGATTTACAGAAAACCCTTTTTTTTTTTTTTTTTTTAAAGATAGAGAGAAAAAGCTCGAACCATATCCAGAGTGTGCCAATTCTCCTCCTCACTAGATGAGGGATTTGGACAGAAGGATGGAAGAACAATCTCCTGCTTTAAGTGGATCTTGGATACCACCTTTGGTAGAAACTCCGGAACTGGTCTGAGGACCAACTTGTCCTGTAATATCCTTTGTGCAGATGTAACTGCCACTAACAGGACCACTTTTTGAGTCAATACCATCAATGGAGCCTGGTCAAGTGGCTCAAAGGTTGACCTAGTCATGGCCTTTAAGACCAGAGGCAGGTCCCATGCCGGCAGAAATACCTTAAGAGGAGGCCGTATCTTCATCACTGCTTTTAGAAAACGGATGACCAATGGTTCTAGAGCCCATCGAGTGCCGATCAAAGTGGATAGAGTTGATACATGGACCTTCAGAGAGTTGTAGCTCAGGCCTCTATCAAGGCCTGCTTGAAGTAAACAGAGCACGGAAGATAAGGCAGGAGGGTTAATGCCCACATGCTGTTCCTGTGCCCAGCAGACAAAAGCGTGCCAAGTTTTAGAATATACGGAGGAAGTAGAGATCTTACGTGATCTAAGGAGTGTTCTGATGACTGAGTCAGGCATGCCAGCACTCATCAAAGCTTCCCACTCAATCTCCAAGCCCTCAACTTGAGAGGTAGAGGGTTCGGGTGTAGAAGAGGTCCTTGGGACAGTAAATCTGCCTGGACTGGGAGTTCCCTTGGAGGTTCCCAACTCATCCGCCTTGCCAGAGGGAACCAGGGCTGACGGGGCCAAAACAGGAAGATAACGATGACCTCCACCTTCTCCTTCTGAATCTTCTTCAGAGTTGCGTAAATGAGGGGTATAGGAGGGAACACATAGGCCAGTGTGAACCTCCAAGGTTGGGATAGAGCATCCTGACTCTGTGATCGACCAGTCTTGAGAAGAAGGCTTCGACCTGGGTGTTCTGGGCCGTTGCCATGAGGTCTATCTGTGGAATTCCCCAGATTAAAGACAGCTCCTGGAATATCTCGGGGCTTAGACGCCACTCGCTCCTGGGTATTCTGAACCCCTGGGAGATGCACTGCAGATAAGCCGTGAATATTCTTTTGTTTCAGTGTTTGCAGATGACACAAAACTCTGTAAAACAATACAATGTGAGCAAGATATTACTTTGCTGCAGAGGGATTTAGATAGACTAGGGGACTGGGCACTCAAATGGCAGATGAAATTTAATGTTGAAAAATGCAAAGTTATGCACTTCGGTGTAAAGAATACACATGCAACGTATGTTGTATGATGTTCCCTCATCAACATATGGCTGTGAGTCCTGCCTTGATGAGAGACATATGATATTACTGCCTGGTTGTCGGACTGGATTCGAATCCACCTGTTCTTCAGGATCCTCCTGAAATGTATGAGAGCTCTGTGGATGGCACGTAGTTCCAAGACATTGCCCAGAAGTACTGACTCCTGCCTGATCCATCGTCCTTGTGTCACCTGGTACCGACAGTGGGCTCCCCAACCATGAGCCCTGGAATCTGTCGTTAATAGTATCCAATTGGGTTCTACCAATGGGAATCCTCTTTCCATATTCTCCTTCTTTAGCCACCAGGACAGGTGAATCTTTACCAAAGGAGAAATCTTCAAGGGTTGATTCCGGTTCATAACATGTCTGTTGAATTGACTCAAGAATGACTTCTGAAGAACTCTGAGATGCCATTGGGCCCACCTGACTAGTCCTATAGAAGATGTCAGATTGCCCAGAAGCTGCGTGTATCTCCTCGCTGTTGTAATACGAAGACGTAAAACCCTGGAGATGAAGCTTGAAATCCTCTGTATCCTGTACTGTGACAGGGAGATAGAGTTCTGGAAAGTGTTGAAGTCTGCACCTAGAAACGTAATCTTTTGGAATGGAATGAAGCTGCTTTTCTGCAGAGTCACCAACCAACTGAATCGTAGGAGTTCTGCTAGCACCAAAGCTCTGTGTAGTATAGCCATCTGGACGTTTGGGACTACCAACAATAGATCGTCCAGGTAATGAAATAGAGAGATTACCTGAATCCTCATTCTTTCTATAAGTACAATCAGTATCTTTGAGAAGGTTCTGGGTGCTGTGCTGAGGCCAAATGGAAGTGCTCGGAATTGGAAATGATTTTCTCCTATTGCAAATCGGACAAAATGATGATGTTCCTTGGCTATTGGTACGTGATAATAGCCGTCCCTTAAGTCGATTGATATGAGCCAATCTTCCTTCCGAATTGCCGGGGAGATGGATCTTATGGACTCCATCTTGAAGGATCTGATAAGTAAACTCCTGTTGATTCTCCGCAGGTCTAGAATAGGTCTCCACTTGTTCTTGTCTTTCTGAACCAAGAACAGAGGTGAGTATTGTCCCTGGAATCATTCTTCTTCTGGAACTGAAATGATAACCCTCTGGGACATGAGATTCTGCACATATTTTCCCAGAGCCCTGATTCTACCTTTGTCCTTGGGCAGATCTGTGGGTATGAAGAAATTGCCTCTGGGTCTTCTGAGGAATTCTAACTTGTAACCTCTTTGGATTATTGCTTTGACCCAGGAATCTTGTATGTCTTGTGTCCAAACTTTCTTGAAGAGAGAAAGCCGAGCTCCAACCTCCAATGGATAGTCAGAAGTTCTTACCTACAGCACGAAAGGAAGGATTCCTACCTCGGGAGGAGTGTGAAACATTATTACTACGATTGTACTCTCTACCCGGACATTAGCTACGAGTATCCCGAAAGTACTGATCCCTAGGAGGTCACTTCTCCGACCAAGAGGAGCCTTGTTCTTTTATCCTGGGGTAAAAAGACTTTACGACCTTCAGCTGCTTTTTTAATGGAATCCTCCAGGGTTTTCCCACTAGAAGCTCGCCTTTAAAAAGGTATGGAACATAAATTGGCCATGGAGGAGGCATTTGCACCCCAATAACGCAACCATAAAGCTCTCCTTGCTGCCACTGAAAGAGCCATGGTCCGGGAGAAGATCCTGGTGATATCCAGGGATGCTTGTGCGACAAACTCAGTCGCTACCTGAAGATCCCAAATAGCATCTCTGAGGTCTGTTCTCTTTATTCCTCTCTCCAAATCTGTATCCATGTCCTTCACCCAACTTTTCATGGCCCTGGACACTGCCGTAAGGCAGACGGCTGGATGGCATCCAGTTCCAGCTGCCGAATATATCAGCTGCCGAATATATCTTCTTATTCATCGGTTCATGCAAGGAAGCGGAACTATCCAGCAGTAAAATAGTTTTCCTGGCTACCCTGGAGAAGGTAGCATCAACCTTGGGAGGTGTCGTCCATCTCTGAGGTTTCTTCCTCCAAAAGGTAAAGCCTGGATAGACTACCCTGAAAATGAACCTTTCTGTCAGATTTTTCCCATTCTGCGGTAACCAACTCCTTAATAGCCCTATGAAGAGGAAAGGAAAGTTTCTGTTTTCTGAGGTCCTCAAAATGTCTATCGGAACTGTCAGTCATAGGAATTTCTTCCGGTAAGTCAAGGGTCTTTCTTACCATGAGGATAAGCTTATCCACATCTTAGTATCTAGAGATTCTGAAAAGATCTCTTCTTATATTCACTAGAACAAACCTGATTGAGAACCTGAAATTCTTCAGATGGATCCTGGAATTCTGAGGCTGATGACTCTGAGGACACTTGCCTCTGTCTAGGCCTTTTCACTGACCGCTTACTTCCCTCCATGGCCTTTGAGATACCCTGTGCCACCTCCTTTCTGATCCAAGCCAGAATCTCCGGTGACTGAGTGGGCTTCAAGGATGAAGGGGCGGCCACCTTCTGCAAACAGTTTAAGCCCAGATGTTTGCCTTCCATTGCCTTTCCCTCACACCCTGCACAGGGGTCTGCCTTCTGTCTTCTCTTCTGTGGGGGAGATGACACAGACTGTTCTCCATTACTAAAAGCAACAAAAGGACAGTTTTAGCAGAGGGAGAATAAAAGTAACCTATAAGGAATAAATGGACCCCTACTCACCTGGATTGTTCAGAACAGGGTAAGGGGTCCCTAGTAGGAGAGCTCATAATGGGCAACTATAATTAAGAATTGGATAAATATCTCAGGTGAACAAACTTGAATATCAAAAAGGAATATATAAGAAACACACCAACCTGTGGCAAAGGATAAAAGATCCTGGCACAAGAATCCAGCTTCTTATCTTGATACAAACTGAAACTGCACAAGTACAGTTTCCACACACGTCCTCCCAGCTTCAGGGTCCTTTAAATAATACCCGCTGAACACTTACCTTATTCCTGGCAACGTTCGGAATTTTACCTGTAATCTCGGACTTTGCCCACAGCAAAGATGGCCGCCGCAACCTCGCAACCTCTCTAAACGTAATACTGGCGCCAAAAAGAGACAAACGCATTGCACATGCGCGAGCGTCCTCTCCAAGGTCCGATCAGTCAGAGCTGGGAGAATGGAAGATAGAGTGAAAAAACACCTTAACCGAAGCCAGGCAATCTTCTCTAAGTCCCCAGGTATCCCAGAACTGGTCCTTGAAATGATGGGAAACACGGTATTTAAAAATGGGAGAAACTAAATTAAGTAGACTTAAAATCTAAAGGGAGCCAAGGAGCTCCCTTCCTAAGGGCTGTAAGGACAGGAAAAAGACTGAGGGACTCATGTGTGGATCCTCCTTTTATAAGAATCTGTTTAATTCCTGTCCTATCGGCTGTAAGGGGTGAGCTAACTTATGTGTATATGCTGCCATGATTAGCCAGGAAACAGGGGTTAAAGCGACAAGAGTGTAGATATGACACAGGTTTGATAGAAAATAGACAACATTCTTGCATAGGGTCATAAATATCTTTCTGAAGATCAGAGTGAGGGGGGAGAGGGAGAAAACCAAGCAGACAGTGCAGAAGATGGTACACTTAATACATACACACACAAGTATGTGTGTATATATATATATATATATATATATATATATATATTGTGAGGGAACACTGCTATATTAGCCCCAGAATGGCACTTTCAGTGTTACCTGACTAGAGGGGGTTAAAAATCAGGTTGATCTAGTACATCATTTAGGGAGCTACATAAACCCTATGCAGAGGGAAATCAGTCTCTCCTGTGAAGAGCTGGGGTGGAGACAGAGAGACTGTGAGTCAAAAAGACTGCTGAAACTGCGTGGGAACTAAAAGGTATTTTGCAAGCCTTTATTTTTATTTGATAAACTACTGGGCCCAGTAGCATAGAAAGGATACTCTATGTTAGTTAGTCTCCAGTGTGGAGTAGGAGTTTATTTTGGTTTTGCTGTGGCTCAATTGGGGCCTGCTTGCTAAATAACGCTTTCCTCATATTGGAAGAAAGAACTGTTTCTGTTGTTTATGACCCAAGACCCAGCCAGCCTTCTACAATATATATATATATATATATATATATATATATATACATACAAACACATAACACATGAAAACATATACATACACATAAACACATACATACATGAACTCATATACAGAAATATAAATGCACAGTCATATAAGCATACATGCATAAGAGTATGGGAAAGCATAGGTCTATACATAGTACTTTGTATATTGATAGAATAAATATATTGGAATGTGTTTTAAAGTGTTGATACATATGACAGAACAGTAAAATAATGTGGGGGGAGTGTTCATGTAAAGTGTTGGTAGTGGGACAGGAAACCCAAATCAGTATTTAGTCCTCTATTCTTGCTTTTAAACAATTTGATATTTATAAAAAACCCTTTCAGCACATTGATTTTTTTGGGGGGGTCCTTCATTGAGCGGCCAGGCTGGGTAATACGATTCTACTTTGTGGTGTTTAATGGAGTGTCTGTGCATATTCATTTCTGCCATTTAATTGCTAGGTGGTTTCCCCAATGTAGCATCCTAGGTGGCATTTGGTGCATTGAATCATGTATACCACATTGCTGGATGTGCAGGAGTATGATCGTTTAATTATGTAGGTTTTATTGTGGAGTGTGGCTGTGTTGCCTGTGCAAATGTGCTGACAGTTTGCAGCGATGTTTTTGCATTGACTGGTCCCGTTTTCTTTATTCTTCCCATCAGTGGGCAGCTTCCTGTTGATTAATTTTTGTTGGAGGTTTGGTTGTCTGAAGGCCAAAATGGGTGTTTCAGAGAATGGTTTTTCAGAGCCTTATCGTCTGTTAACATTGGTTGTAGGTCTTTAATGATTTTCCGTATTTCCTTTAAGAGCTGGGCTATAGGTGACCACAAGTGGCACTCTTGTAGATTTTTTTATATATATATATATATATATATATATATCTGTACTGTAGTAGGCACGTGCGTGGAGTTTTTACAGCAGAGTTGATTTGTTTGGTAATAGTCTTTGGTTTGTAGCTTTTCTGTCTCATAGATTGGGAGAGTACATTTAGATGGGAATTACAGTAATTAGGATCAGAGCATATGCGATGGTACCTAGCAGTTTGGCTGTAAATGATGCCCTGCTTAGTATGGGAGGGGTGGAAGCTGGAGCTGTGAAGGTAACTGCACCTATCTGTGGGTTTTCTGTAAACCGAGGTGTGGATTGTGCCATTGTTACATGTCACAGTGATGTCCAGAAAATTCCCAGATTCAGTGGAATATTCAATTTTTAGTTTTGATGGAATGTGTTAAAAGTCATGAATCTGTTCAGTCAGTCAGTTCAGAAACTGTTCAGTCAGTGTTCAATCAGTTTGTCTTAGCTTTCAGTTCAAATTATGAAGATATCATCGATATAGCGATAATATTGGTATGCTTTGGTGTGCTGTATTTCTAGGAACCGCTGTTAAAGATCTGCCATAAACATATCATATTAGGGTGGCCATATCTACTCCCAGACACTTAGTGCCCATAGCAGTGCCCATGGTTTGTAGGTAAACCTCATTGTTAAAACTGAAATAATTATGTGTGAGGATGAATAGTGCCAGTTCTGTGATAATTCGGGGGCTTTATTTTTGGTTGTCGGCATAAGAGAGGAAATGGAAGCAAGCATTGATGCCATCTGTATGTGCAATGTTGCTGTACAGAGTTTCCACATCCATGGTTACAAGGATGGTGTTAGCAGGGAGATTGGTGATTTGGCGGAGTTTGTTGAGGAAGTCAGTTGTATCTTTTATGAAGCTGTTGGTGACTAGAGGTTTTAGGGTATTTTCTACCAGTCCTGAGATCTGTTCTGAGAGAGTTCCCATTCCTGTAATTATGGGTCTTGCAGGATATAGAAAGTGCCCATATAGGGACGAGTTGGTATGAGTGGGTTGCCGTTCTAGATGCAGATTCTCAGGGAAGGATGAGCTCCCTAAATTGTAACGAGCTCCCTAAATTGTAATGTATATAGCTTTCTATAGTATTTGTCATCTGTCAATTGCCTGACCCTCTCTTTTATGTGGTCCTGGGTGTTCATTATCACTACTGCTCCTCCCTTCTCTGCTGGTTTGATGGTGATAGTATGATTATTTTTCAAGTCATTTTATAGCCGTTTGTTCCTGTGCTGAGAGATTATGAAACATTTTTCTTTTGGTTTTGCTTGGTTGTCAAAGATACTGTTCTTAGATGGAAACTTTCAATGTAACTGTCCTGGTGCTAGAGTGAAGTTTTGGTGTTCTTTTGCTTGTTGTAATCCATTGTGGTTTCAGTGCTCTTTGTTATGGAAGTATTCCTTAAGTTGCAACCTTCTGAAAAATTCTCCCACGTCAGAGTAGAGCTCAATGTCATAAAGTTTTGTGCTAGGGCAAAATGATAATCCTTTGGAGAGAACTGATGCTTCTGAGTCAGTGTATTTTATTTATTTTTTTATTTCAAAGTTTTTTTTATTTTCTCTTAAGTATGCATAAGAAGTTACATGAATACAATGGGAATCAAACGCATTGTAACGGTACAAAATTGATACATGAATACAATATGGATAAAGAGCAATGTAGAGTTACAAAGTTGTCACACGGCATCGTTAAATTATACATAATTTATAAAGGTGTAAGCTGTGCATAGTTTGGTATAGCAGAGGTATGAGTTAGTGAAAGTAGATACTAGTAAGTTAGATAGTAAGTTAGGTAAGGCATACGTAAATTATGGTTTCTACATTGTGAAACAAGTGGTTCCGTTGGAACAAGGGTAATTTAGACCAGTTGGTGAGTTATGTCAAACTGGAACTGTCTGAGAAGGATCTGGATTAGTATTTGTGGTTTGTGTCTGAATTTAAGAAATTTACCCAGGGTGTCCATATTTTGGAAAATACCTAGATATTCCTGTTTCTGGCATACGTAATTTGTTTAATGTCCTCTACTCTTCCTATCCACTCTCTAATGGATGGGATCTGATATTTGGGTATCAGTTGTGTGGCTGCTGAAACTAAGTGGTTGAAAATAATTGTTTTGTCTCTTCATAAGCCTTGAGGGGGCATTAGGAAAATATAGAGTTGTGGAGTAAAAGTAATTTTACTGTTGATTATTTGGAAGAGGGCATGAATTCTCATCTATTATCATTTAGCTAAAGATGGGCATTGCCACCATATATGAGAATGGTGAGCTCCCGTGCGTTGGCATCTCCAACACTTATCTGTGGTCGTGTTGTGTATTTTTTGTATTTGTGCTGGCATATAATGCAAACGAGTGATGAGCTTATAGTTGCTTTCCTGAGCTATAATAGAGGATGGTGATTTGTGAGCTGTCTGAAGGATAGACCACCATTCTTGTTGTGTGATGTCTATCTGTAGTTCTTCAACCCATTTCATAGTACAGTGTGGTAATTCTGAGTCTTGTGCTTCTCTAATTAATTCTCATCTATTATCATTTAGCTAAAGATGGGCATTGCCACCATATATGAGAATGGTGAGCTCCCGTGCGTTGGCATCTCCAACATTTATCTGTGGTCGTGTTGTGTATTTTTTGTATTTGTGCTGGCATATAATGCAAACGAGTGATGCGCTTATAGTTCCTTTCCTGAGCTATGATAGAGGATGGTGATTTGTGAGCTGTCTGAAGGATAGACCACCATTCTTGTTGTGTGATGTCTATCTGTAGTTCTTCAACCCATTTCATAGTACAGTGTGGTAATTCTGAGTCTTGTGCCTCTCTAATTAATTAATTAATTTATACATGGTGGATAGAATCTTTTGTGTGAGTGTATGGGTAGTACACAGTTGTTCAAAGGAGGTGAAGGTTCGCATACCTTTTGGTAGGAGGTCTAGACTTTAGATGAAGTGTACTGTTTGATAGAAGTGCAGTTGTTGGTTGCCTGTGGGAGCAGCATTAGGTATGATTTGGGCTTTTCAATTTGTTGTCATCGACCATATGTTTTAGTTGCAGCACTTTGTCTTTATGGTATATGCTGTACGTTTTCCCTGATTGTCCCCTTTGGAAGCTGGGGTTATGTGTGAGGGCGTAGAGGGGGAGGGGTGGGGTGAGATCTTTGTTGACCTTGAAAGTTTGTGCCACACATGGAGTGTAGCTTTAATACTCGGGTGTGTGTGTCCGGGTGGTGTCATTGTGTTTGGTTTGATATTAGCCAGGGGCGTACACTTAAGGGAGTCTCTGAGAATGTGTTTTCTAATATTACCCATTGTTGCGTTGGGAAGGGGTGTGTCCATTCATAGATTCTAGTGAGATGTGTTGCTTTGTGGTATGTTTCAATATCAGGTAGGTTTAGTCCTCCTTTGTCTCTGCTTTTGACTAGTGTAGAGCGGGCTATCCTTGGGTAAGTGTTAGACCAAATTAAGTTGATAAAGTATGGATTTGGCCATTGCAAAGAATCTGTTTGGTATTGTAATGGGAAGTGTCTGGAGAATATATAATATGCGGGGAAGTATATTCATTTTTATAATGTTGACTCTACAGAACCATCCAAAACAGGGCCTCTGCCAGCCAGTCTCTGGTAATGGTGGTCAGAAGTTGGGGAAAGTTTAGGTCGTACAGTTGATTTAGATTAGTTGGACTCCTAGGTACTTACGAGATTTGGATGCCCAGGAGAAGTGGAACCTCTCCCGTAATTGGGTGTCTAGCGGTCTCGAAGTGTGTATGGGAAGCAGGTCGCACTTAGTCAAGTTAGCTTGGAAATTTGAGACCTTGCTGTATAGATCCATTTCCGACAAGATGGTTGGTATTGTGGATAGTGGGTTGGATATGGTAAAGAGGAGATCATCTGAAAATGCTGTAACTTTATATTCGTGATTGTTGATTGTGAGATTGATGAGTTTATTGTCCCTGACTCCTTGTAGGAATGGTTCGAGCACTAATATAAACAAGAGCGGCGACAGTGGGCATCCCTGTCTCGTTACATTTGTGATGGTTACTGGGTGCGAAAGCTGGCTGTTTTTGCAGAGTCGGGCTGTGGGCGGCGAGTAGATGGCTGCCAGCCACTCCTGCCATCTTGGTCCAAAGCCCAGAAATCGCATTGTGTGAGTGAGTAGCGACCAGTTGACTCTATCAAATGCCTTTTCGGCATCAATTACTAAATAACCGGATTTTTGTTGTGTTGTGTTTAGCTTCCCTTCCTGGTACGAATCCTGCTTGGTCTTGGTGGATGAGATTTGGTAGGAAGGGTTTTAATCTTGTGGCCATTATTTTTGCCAGGATTTTCAGGTCAATATTTCTGAGCGAAATTGGCCTGTAATTCCCACAAATTGAGGGATCTTTGCCTGGTTTGGGGATAAGGGTGATTGTTGCTTCCAATGCAGATTTGGGTATGGTAGATGTGAGTTTTTGTGTGTTAAACGCCTCAGTGAAGGATTGTGCTAATGTTTGAGATAGCAGTTTACAATATTGTCAACATTGCCTGTATAGCCATTAGGTCCTGTTGGGAGTTTCTTGACTGTGTTTATGAATTCATCTATTGTGATGGGTTAGTCAAGAAATTCAACTTTTCAAAATTCAACTTGTGGGATAGTGTTTTTGATTCTAGGTCTAATGAAGTTCAGGATGTCTTCTGTGGCTGGGTGTGTTTGTGTGAGATTATAGAGGTTTGTGTAGAATTTATGAAACGCCTTTATGATGTCTGGCATTTGTTGTGTTGTGGTGCCGTTGTCTTGTTTGATCTCCGAGATAAATGTGGTTTGTTTATCTTGACAGAGAGCCTGTGCTAGGAGTTTTCCTGCCTTCACTCCCTTCATGTAGTAAGTGTGTTTTGTCAGTTTCAAGTTACGTTTAGCATATAGTAATAGTAGTGTAGATAGTTCTGATATTTTTGTTAGTAGTGTTTTATAAACATCTAGTGGGGTGTCGTTTTGATGGTGTTTATGTTCCAGTTCTCTTATTTCTTGTGTGAGCTGAGTAATTCTGAGCTCTCTTACGTTTTAAAGAGGAAGCGATACGAATCAACTCACCTCTCATAACCGCTTTATGAGCTTCCCAGACAGTAGCAGGGGAGGTGTCTAGTCGTGTGTTCTCCTTGAAGTAAGTGGTAGCCTTGTCTCTAAGTTGTGTAATGAGTTCTGCATTGTTGAGGATTAAGACAGTTGGGCAAGGTCAGGATGGTCAGGGCCAGTGTCATGGGTGCATGGTCCGACCATGTGCTTAGACCGTATGTAGCTGATTTGATTAGGGGTAGATATCTGTGTTGGAGGAAGAGGGTGTCGATGCGGGAGTATGTACCTGCGGGAGGTGACAAGAATGAAAAATCTTTGCCTGTGGGGTGAATAGTTCTCCAGCTGTCGTATAGTTGGGCATCGTGGAGAGTTTTACTGATTTGTTTTCGGGGTTGTGACATATGGTGCTGTGGCTTTGCAGTAGAATCTAGGTCCCCATCTAGGAATATGTTGATGTCCCCTCCCACTAATAATATGCGTTCCTAGAAGGTGGAGAGCTTATATAAAATTTTCTTTAAGGTCAGGTTTTGCTTTCTATTAGGTAAATAGATGTTTGCCAAATTTTACCTTTAACGAATACAAATCTTCCTGAATCTTCCGAGTGTTGGTCTTGCTATGTGAATTGTGCATGTTTCCCAATTAATATTGCTACCCCTCGTGATTTGGAGGCCGCGTAGTGTCCGAAAAAGCCTTTTGGATAGCCTCTGTTTTGTAACTTGGGGGCTGTGTCTTTGCAAAAGTGAGTCTCTTGGATGAAGACTATGTCTGCGTTATTTCTGCGGAAGTCTGTTACAGCCATATATCTTTTTTCAGGGGTGTTTAACCCCTTAAGGACCAAACTTCTGGAATAAAAGGGAATCATGACATGTCACACATGTCATATGTCCTTAAGGGGTTAAACCCTAGCGTTTTGTGTGAGTATGTTTATGGTAGTCATGGCTGGGGGTTTGGTAGGAAGGTAGGGGGTTGAAAAGTATTGTTTCTATATTTATTTGTTAGGATTTGTAAGACTGATATGTGTGTTACTTTCGTGGGTTCTTAGACTGTGGATAGTGGGTAGCGATGTCTTCGTTAGTCGCAATAGGTGGGTTGCTTTCGTATGCAGTTCGGGAAATTAAGTCTTGGGGTTATGGACAATACGTTATCTTGGATAATTGAAGGCAGTAGTGTTTGTGTGTGAGATCCCCAAGATAGCACCCTGGTGTGATCTGGTGCAATGCCTATACCTTTTTCAGATATTATTGTTGTTCCCGTTAGCCCTTTACAATTTTGCTTAAAAACCGTTAGATACAATACGAATAATTATAATAAACATTACAACAATGTTCAACAATGAATAACAATGGTTAACAGTGCCAGTTGTATTAGATGAAACTTTGAACCTCAGTGGATGAGTTTTGTGGTTTCTAAGATAGTGGTGGGTAAAATGAGGTCTTTGTTGTAGCACCAATACACTGTAGGAATTCCAAGAATCAATATAAATTTGTCTCAGAAGTGGTTTAGATGGAAGGGGATTCGGGGGTGGTATTATCTGTAGTAGATACACTGGTGAGAGGGGGAGTAGTGTTCTATCTCGACGCAAAGATAGAACACTAGATGATTCAGGGTAGTGTGGTTGTATAAAAAAAAAAAAAAAACGGGGTGTGGTAATCCTGTAATCTAATTTTCCTGTAGGAGACTGTTTTTATTTATCTAATGATTAGTAGCGAATAGCGTACATGGGTAGTCCAGGATGGAGTGGTGGGGGGGGTTAGTGAAAGGAAACTGAGAATACAGTGGTAGGAGACTCTGTTGAGTTAACGTTACAGCTGGTCCTGTACAACTGTTTGAATGATTAATATACATCAAAATTTTAAAGGTACAATAAGACAGTTTGCGCATTACATTTGATCCGACCTGTCAGGCATATTCCATGAGGGGTGTGTGAGATGATTGGAGGAGTCCACCGTATTTAAGGTAGAGAAACTTTTGCAGTTCATTTTGTAACCGTCTCTGGTGTGGATAATTAGTAAGTATAGTGACCATATTCCGGTATGTGGAGATCTAGCCGTAAGTGAGTCTGTTCTGTTAGAAATTAACATATGGATAGTGGAGATGGCATCTTCGTATTAGTCTAAGTTTGTTTACTTCTTCATCAGATGGACTGGACGTCTCAAATGAGTGGTGTGGTGCAGTTAGTGGCCGTTGGTAGTTAAATTGGTTAGTTCCGTCTAAGCGACAATGCAACATTGTGTGTGGAAAGTCAGTTTGATATAGAGATCTCCGTAGGATTAAATGGGTCCTATCATTAAGGTGGGATATAATAGGGTTATCCAGGATATGTTTTATCAAGGATGGTAGGACTAATATCCTCTAGAGGTTCCCCTCATGCTTAGTGGTCAGATCGTTGTCTGTAGTTTTCTTCCTGGGTGCCTCTTTGTCTTTGTTGGGGTGATAGGAACCGTTGTTCGTTTCTTCTCTTATTTGCTGGTGTAAGCCAGTGTTGGCGTTGCGGGAGGTTTGTGGGGTCTTGGTTTGGCTGGGGCAAAGTCCAGTCTAGGAATGGCGGGACGTCAAGGGGAGAGGTGATTGAAATTGTGTTCCCCTTGTTGGTCGCTATCAGAGAGCTATCAAGCGGTATCTAATATTTCAGTTTCTTAGGTGTTCTGTTATCGGTTTTAGGGCTCTTCGTGGCTGTAGAGTGTACCAGAATAGGTCAAGGTACACTTGTATAGGGTGGTTATGAAAAAGTAACGGTTGTGAAGTGTCTCTTAGCATTCTTAGGATATTCTTAGGGCTTCTGGGGAGAGCCCTCTTGGTCTCAAGGATCGGTGGGCTCTGTCAAATATTATAGGGTTGTAGCTCGGTACTCCCAGAATGAGATTAAGGAGTTCAGTCAGTACCAGTGTTAAGTCCTCACCTTGGGTCTCTGGTAGTCCTCTTATGCGTAAGTTGTTCCTGCGTCCGCGGTTATCTAAGTCATCAATGTGCCGTTGTGTGGCAGCAAAATGAAGTAGGTGTGAATCAATTGTTGATGAAATATTTGTTATTTGTGCTTGTAATACACCCCGTTCTTCTTCCAGGTCCATGACTCAGAGATAGCTGTTGGACGTCTGTGCCCATAGACTCCATCTTTGATGGGAATGTGGCCTCGAGCCTAGTGATCATTTTTTGCAGATCATCTTTGAAGGGAATATTTTTTTTTTTTTTTTTTTTTTAGTATTTCTCTGATGTCCGGTTCAGTATTATACTCTGTGGGTTTGTGTGAGCACTCTGATATGGCAGAACTATTAGGTTGTGGATCCGAAGTTATTTCTGTCTCCGCCATACTGTGTATCGCGGCTTCGGCCTCTACCTCACGGTTCGAGTTTTCTTTGAAGCAGCGGGTAAGTGAGCCCGATTTAGAGGTTGGGGTTTTCCCCGGTTGCCCCTGTGTCATTTGTTGCATCTTGGGGTTGCCCATGTTGTGTGTAATTCTCTGATTGCTTTGGATTCAATCCTGGGTCTACGGGAGCGATTTCAGTGTGCGTCCATTAAGCTTTGCGGCTAGCCACGCCCCCCTTCTGAGTCAGTTTATAATCCGAAATGTTAACAATACCAGATTTATCTTGCCATTTCTCTTTTTCTGACAGATGTTTGTGATAGTCCTGCTGGAGTCTGATGAGTTTATTGTTTTTCTTCATACCAAGAGAGTTGTGGTGGGGGGGAAAAAGTGGTGAAAACCCATTCTATCTGAAGTAAGTGGATAGTTAATACGTTGCTAAACACAAATACAAACACCAGTCAAGTCATAAGACTTGCTTTTCCACAGTAACCAACGAAACAGCTGTCCATGAGGAGTTCACTGGCTTTGCTCCTCTTCCTGAGTTGTGTTTCAAAGCTGTTGTATACAGCAGAAACATACTCCAAGGAATCCATGTACAAAGTGGAATTATGAGGCAAAAATGTGGTTCTTTGTTGAGCTCATTTGCATGTGCCTACCCTGAATCCCTTGCAGTAGTGAGAGCACTGTTAAAGTGAGATTTCTGTGGGAAAAGCAAGTCTTGAGGCTTGACTGGTGTAATTGTGTTAAGCAATGTATTAAACTATATCTATCCATATCTCCATATCTCTATCACAGTGTTGACAATCCTGGCTGGGTACCTCTGCCAAGCTCGCACCCTAGCTGGAAGCGGGAAACCTGAAGCGATTGTGCCACAGTTACCGCATCTTGACTGGGGTCCTTCTGGAGCTCTTCCACCCGACCAGGCTGCAGATCTCCTTCCAAGCAGATATCTTCCTCTCTACCTATTGCGCTGCAGTCCTTCTCCTTCTGCCTACAGTGGGATTTCTTTACAAAGGCACTTGCGGATCTCAGGCCTAGCTCTCTTGAATTATACCAAGACTAGAGGGATCCTGCAACCAGTCAGCAGGTTCGAAGACTCGTGTCCTGTGTGGATTTTTAGGGATCCCAGTGACAAAGTTCCACAAGGAACTAAAATACAAAACTTTATTTTACTAGGGACTAGCACATAAGATCATTACATAAACATTGCTGTGACAACTCAATAAAAATACAGTCAAATCACATTAGACGACATACAGGAACTTATAACATAATGACATTTATAAAGGGGTGAGAAGGACAATAATTAACATAAAAACATCTCTCCTGCCTGCAGAAATAGCAATATGCAAATCTACCAGAATATGCAAATTAGCTAGCCTTGCTATTCAGGTAGTGCATATAGCTGTTGCTAGATCAGGCTTCCCCAAACTCCGGCCCTCCAGATGTTGCTGAACTACAAATCCCATGATTCTCAGCTTATCTATTTCATTCATAGAATCATAGGAGTTGTAGTTCAGCAACATCTGGAGGGCCGGAGTTTGGGGAAGCCTGTGCTATCTCCTTAACATACAGGTGGTGCTGTACAGCTAAATCCACCTAGTTGATTGCAAGTATTAGTAAGACAGGAGACCACAATAACTTTTAACCCCAACAAACCACATTATACCTTGCACCCACAATGGACACAGAATGACAAATATAGAAATAGTCCAGGAAGGGGCACCGGGCGGGAGACATGGGTTGGAGGGCTAGTCCATTGTGAATATAGTTTCTTTGGAGAAGGTGGAGGGTCGGGGATACATGGATCCAGCTAAGGTGACCGGAGGATCAGTCACAGGCTGCAAGAAAAAAAAATCCAGCAGAGGGATAGCAGGAACATTAGAAGCAGCCTTAGCAAGTATAGCATATGTGCCATGGTTGCTATGCAAAGAGAGCATTAGGACTATTTTTAAATATGTTTTTCTCCCATCCAATACATTTTCAAGCACAATATGTGCCATGATAGTAGCTCATGAGAACTAGATTTTCTGAAATAACAACATTCTTTTGTTGAAAAGGCCTAGACCAGGGGTGTCCAAACTTTTTTTTCAAAGAGGGCCAGATTTGATGAAGTGAACATTCTTTAAACCATTAAAATTGAATGCAAATTAACTATTTTATGCAAAGTTTATTGCAAACGGCATACATTTCATCTCTTTATTCTGTCCCTTCCCTCCTTACTCTGTCCCAGCAAGGAGAAGGAACCAAATCCCGTGAATCCTGTGACGTTCAAGAGAACGCAGACTGAGGTCACTGCCCGTCCGTCTGCGTTCTTGCGATCTATTGGCCCCCAGTGAATCCCTGAGTGCTGCTCAGGACCACGACGTTCAGAGATCCCAGGGGTCCTAAGCGGCGCTTGGGGATTCATTGGGGGCCACAATGGTTAGATTTACCAAAGTAACTGTGGGGCCGTATTAGACCGGAACTTGGGCCGCAAATGGCCTGCGGGCCGGACTTTGGTCATGACTGGCCTAGCCAGTATATCGCTGCCACAGATTCCCTTTCCCAAAGTAAAGTAGCTCTAAATATCGCTGACTGAATTCTGTTTAATGCAGGCAAGCATTCTCAATTTATACATACAGTAAACTCCTCCCTGTGCCTGAGAAATAATTGAGTCAGGAAACTTACAACTCAATTATCATTCAGGTACAGAAAAATATATATAAAAAAAATATATATATTAAACACCCCAAAATCCATGGAAACCCCTCGAGAGTCACATGCCCTGATCCGAGTGCTTAACATACCCAAAAAGCACTCAGATAGGTACAGTTGTTTGGAATTGCCATCAAGGTACAGTTTTGACAGACCGGCCACAAGGTAGAAGCCCAAAATAATTTCAGAGAAATCGTGGCAACGGCCGGTCTCAGTTTGAGGTTTTTCTTTTATATGAAAACCATATACAATATCTGAACGCTTTTAAGTGTCGCATACTCCCCCCATTTGGTAGTTCATATCTCCCAAATGCCGTTCGTATAGATGGTCAGGAACTTAAATGGGCAGCAGTTTCATCTTCACCTGTGTTCAAGGCAGTGGCTAGCCGAATTACATTCCAGGCACTTGACGACCAGGTACTGCTGCCTGCGTTTCTGGAGACAAGATGGTCGCCATCCATTCTGTTGACCACGTGCGTTCAGTTACACGAAATGGCGGCCACCCAGGGGAGCCTTTTAGTAATAGTTTCCGTTGTGGTTTCGCACTAGATACTTAGGATTCCATGTTGTAATGAGGTGTTGGGGTGGTCCTCATTTGGGAACCGAACTAGGTTGTTTTCGAACAAGCAAACTAACAGAAAAGAAACTAATGTTACCGAACCAAGTGATGGGGTATTCCTTCATACTTTTGCCTATGGCTCCGGGAGACACTGTTTGACCCTTTTTGGGTCAACTTGGGGATGTCCAGAATATAAAACCAGTCTTTTATTTGGCTAGCTCGGTCTGGCGAGAACCTGTCTGCATTCCCATTGTGTTTACCGGGTCTCTAGTGTATGGTAAAATTGTATGGTTGCAGGGCTAGGCTCCATCTCAGGAGCCGGGCATGGTTTCCAGCGATCCGGTTGAGCCATACTAATGGGTTGTGGTTGGTGATAAGGGTGAAAGCTCGTCCTTAAAGGTATGGTGTTCATTTCTTCAGTGCCCACACCAGAGCTAGGCACTCTTTTTTTTTTTTTTTAATAGCTGCACTGCTGATCTCTCTGGGTAATAACTTATTTACTTGGTACAGGGAGTGGGCCAGTTAGCAACGGCCTCAATCTTGGCTGGTTAAGGCCGTTGCTTTCCACATTCTAAACAGTGGCCAGGATACTGTACTTCCGCCATACCAATATGACACTTGTCTGGTTTCAAGGTTAGGCCGGCCCGCCTAATCCTATCTACCTATGTGCATTAAGTGAGCCTCCCAGGTGTCGCTGTAAATTGCTAAGTCAGCCAGGTATGCGCACGCAAAATTCCAAAGGCGATCTATCTATAGGTGCCTGGGGCATTCTTTATCCCGAACGGCATAACCCTGAACTGGTATAAGCCGTATTCTTTGAGTATATTAATGTGAAACATCTGTTTAACTTGCTCATTCTCACAGCTGGCTACAGTGTAAGTAGTGTTGCACACTTGCCAGGTTGCCTGTAGCTAATCATGCTGAACCAGTTTAAGTACCATAACTTTTTGTCAGACCTTAAAACTACAGTGTCTGGCAATCCGGTTGTACCATACTTGCTGGTGCTGCTGAGACACCTGGAGGTTCTTGCACTCCGTCTGAGCCAATGACTCCATATAGTCCCTTAGCTCCAGCATGTATAGTACAATCGGGGTCCCTGCTCTCTCTCCCTCCCCAATGCTTTTGGATAAGGTCTAGGGGTCCCTACACCCACCTCCCTTATAACAGCTCAAATGGGATAAACCCGGTAGATTCCTGTGAAACTTCCCGGTAAGCGAATAGGAGGTGCGGCAGGAACAATTCACAATCTCTGCAAGTGGTGTGAGCATCCTTGACATTTGTTTAAGGGTTCGATTAAACCGCTCAGAGACCATTAGTCTAGGGGGTCTCATAAAAGGCTTTATTCCACAGACCTTCAACAGCTGATGGGTCACTTGAGCAGTGAACAAAGTACCTTGGTCAGAAAGAATCTCCCAGGGAAATCATACTCTGGAGAATATCTTGACCAGGGCATCAGCCACTGTCAATGAACAAAAGAGTCAGCACTGCACTTTATCCTTAGGTGGGGATTGTTCCGCACAGGCGCATAAGTTGGAGCTCTACTGAGGCGCCAAAACAATTTAGGGTGCTGCACCTACCCATGTGTTACCCATAATATAACCAATGTAGCAAAAGAAACCTCATTACAAGGCATGCAACATAAAATGTAGTGGATTGCAAACTACAATTGGTTTACTAGAGCAAATCTAATCAGACCAGGGTATAGACAAGAACGCAAAACACGATAACAGACAAAACAGCAGGCATGCAAAAAAACGGCATAAGAGAACAAGGCATACAAACAAAATAAAAGGTTAGGGAAAAACCACTGGTGGGAAAATATTCACTTCCTGTCTTAATTAAAATTTAGACACCTTCAGCATGGCTAGGTTAATCTCTAATTTTGATACAAGACAGGAGGCTTCATATTTTTAATGCTGTGACACCAGAGCAAAGGCAACATGAAAGCACAGAAGTAAATAAAAGGTCCAAAATGGGGACTCCCACGACCAACCCTTAACAGACCAAATATATTTGAGATATTGTCCCCCCAAGGAAAAAAAACAGGAAGTCGCAACACCTCGAACCAAATGGGCGCCACTTAGTTCCACAGCACCAGCTACACAGAAAAGCCAACAGATCCAGCAAGCCACTGTAGTTGTTGAGACAGGCTTGTGAGAGTGTACCTAGGATCAGCAGAGGACCTGAGCAAGAGGACTGAAGAAGATGCAGCCATCAGATAGGTCTGAACACAGCGAGACATGTAAAATGGGAAAACCTGAAATATACGGATTAAAAAGTGGAGAGAGAAGGACATCCCTTCCAGAGAAAAAGATAGCGAGATGGAGTCAAATGTTTATAATATTTGCTGGAAATTATAGACTTGCGAGCCTAACTTCTGTGCCTGGGAAAGTATTTAAAGGCTTATTAAAGAATAATATTCAGGAATTCATTTAGAAAATTGTTATCTGCAATAATCAGCATTTTTTTTATAAAACATAAGTCATGTCTAACTTAAAGGACCGCTATATGCACCCAGACCACTTCAGCTCAATGAAGTGGTGTGGGTGCCAGGTCCATCTAGGGTTAATCCAGCCTCTAGTGGCTCTCATTGTGATTTTCACAGTGAGAAGATGCCAGCGTCCATAGGAAAGTATTGAGAATTCTTTCCTATGGACTGGCTGAATGCATGCGCAGCTCTTGCCGCGCATGCGCAAATTCAGCCGATGACGACCAAAGGAGGAGGAGAGTCCCCTGCGTCGAGGGAGCCCGGCGCTGGAGAAAGGTGAGTGTTTAACCCCCTTCAGCCCAGCGGAAGTGGGACCCTGAGGGTCGGGGCACCCTCAGGGCACTATAGTGCCAGGAAAACGAGTTTGTTTCCTGGCACTATAGTGGTCCTTTAATTGGATTCTATTAAAAAGTAAGTAGAAGTATAGCTCAGGATGTTGCAGTTGATGTGATCTACTTGGATTTTGCCAAGGCGTTTCATACTGTACCACACAATAGGTTAATGTTCAAACTCAAAGAAATTGGTCTACATGAAAATTCTTGTTCTTGGCTAGAACAATGGCTTAAAAATAGAGTACAGAGTTGTCATTAATGGTACGTTTTCAAGCTGGATAAAAGTGGTGAGTAGTGTCCTTCAGGGTTCTATTCTGGGACCGGTTCTATTTTACATATTTATAAATTATCTTGAAATAAGACTTGAAAGTCATGTTTTAGCCTTTTGCGGTTGACAAAATTATGTAAAGTAAAACAATGTGAGCAGGATATTGGTTTGTTGCAAAGGGATTTAGATTGGGGGACTGGGCACTCAAATAGCAGATGAGATTTAAATGTAGAAAAATTACCATAATATTAACTAAATTCAGTTGTGGTTTGCTGAAACCGATGTTCGGGCAGGCCTGTAAATATAGAGGGCAAAAAGGAGACTTTCACCATGACACCTTTAATACGTATGTAATCTTATATTACGATTGTGAAGATATGACGTTTCTTCAACATTCGGCTGTCTATTTGAATGTTTGCTGGTTGGGGTATGCAATGGTTGTATGCAGACGATTTCCATCATCCCAGTCTTTGATTATGTGTCCTGGTACGTTTTGACTAGAGGCTGTTGTTGTTGCCCATATTTGAAAAGAATGGCCCGTGAAAGCTGACTGGTCACCACCTATTATTTTGTAAGTAGAGTTCTTATGTAAAAGACTATTATTTATATTGTCAGTGGGTTACCGCATAAGCTCGGTAGGGGAGTGCTTTGTCCTGACCTATAAGGGTCAGGTGAAAAAGGGTCAGGTGAGTAATTGTACTGGGTATCGTATGTTACCTGTGGGGAACAGTTGTAAGTCAACAGGCGGCCCCGTTGGATTAGTTTTAGATTGGTGTAGTGTCCAAACGTAGTGGTTCTCTACTCGTTTAGGTCGGCTATTTTAGCATGTTATAAGCCGTTGTTATAGGCTGTGAAACCCGCAGCAGGTCAAAATATAGTGGTTTTAATGGTCTTATTTGTTTCTGCTTCGAATGGTTGCGTATCCACTATGTCAGATAATGATCCGAACTTTATACCGTCTATTGGTTGTTGTTTCATGGGTTTGTGACCTACTAGTCGTAGTATGCATCTTAGGATGTTTTATTGCGTTTGGTGACGTAAAGGTACTGTGACTGGGGGATGTGTTTAGAACGTGGTGTTTAATGTCTGATAGATATGGTTTTATTGTATTGTGTGTGACTATAATTTTTTTATGGGGGCAAAGGGAGATTAATGCCACCATAGTATCTAATGTTTACGTATTTTTAAATTTGGTTTTTGGTAAGGAATCTGTGGAAGATGACGAGAGCTGGATCGTATGAGTATTGTGTATCTCATAGAGAAAGTTTAGGGATACTTTCTCAAAAGAAAGCAGCATTTTTAACAAAAAAGTTCACATATTTCAATTGAGACACACTTTAAATTAAGTGCATTTCTACTTAAATCATCAATATACAAACAGTTATATAAAATAAATCACCAATCCCATTTTTGTGAGTATATCTACTTGCGGTGTGTGTGTGTGTGTGTGTGTGTGTGTGTATGTATATATGTATATTATTTATTTATATATATATATATATATATATATATATATATATATATATATATATAAATAGCTGAATCAAAGGTTGCACTCACGGATTCTTAAAACATAGCTTTTATTGTGTACTCCTAAAAAAATCGACGTTTCAGTCCTATTCAAGGACTTTCATCAGGATCATAGAAACATAACATAACAATTCAACCATATATAGGATGCAGTAAATTACAATAACTCACCACAGGTGCCATAAGACAACCGGCGTCCCGGTCGGGAATGTGCGCATGTACCGAGTAGCCCCTCCCCCCGGCATGACGTGTAACGCCGCCGTTGCTATAGTAACGCAACTAGCGTATACTATACTGAAGCCGGCATCTAAACCGGAACTGTGCAGTGATGCGGAGAGGTTCCGCCCCTCAGTGTGACTTCATGTGTGCGCCGCCGTCGTTACCATAGTAACGCGGCTGTGAATGAGAAACTACAACAAACCGATATGGAAACAAACTTATCAAAAATGATAACCTAGTTGTGAACACCTAGGCTATTATGAAATATTGACATACCAAATTTGGTTAAGCCAAGTGTGAATGTGATCTATGTATATTAATAAAGTGCTAATGGGTCATTTAAAGTGCAATCAAAATCATCTCTTAAAGTGCCATATACGTGCAAAATATTTAAAGTGCCACAGTGCTAATGTAAACATATTGTGACCCAATACAATTTATATAAATATTTACATTTAAATAACCCCAATGATTGAAGATTAATGTTAATAAACTAATCAATCAAAAAAAGTGCATACATATGGTTATATAAGGCTTTTTTACACAACTTTTTTTCTTTCTTCTTTCTGCTCCTCTGTCACTCAACAAATATATTTTTTTTTCGGACAATTGTTGCAACAGCACTATTATATTCTGCGTCAAAAACTATTGAACACATTTTAAAACAATAACTATTAATGCTTGCAAAACATATATGGTCAATTGTATAATAAGAGGACGGTCGCAGAATAATCATGAAAAATGCATATAGAAAGACCTAAATTACACACAAATATAAAATCACATATTAAAAGAACATTCTTCTTTGTTTCGGTAGCGCGTGCATTCAAGGACTAAATGAAGCTTTGTTGTTACATTCTTTTTTGGCCTGAATGCCCCTCAATGTTCTTTTAATATGTGATTTTATATTTGTGTGTAATTTAGGTCTTTCTATATGCATTTTTCATGATTATTCTGCGACCGTCCTCTTATTATACAATAATTCCTAATTGGAATACCTTATAAAAGCAGGTGGAGTACCTTGTATGTTGAAAAAGTGTATTCTGCCGAATAATTGCCCCATATGGTGCTTAAGGAAAATTGTAGTAAGCGCCTGAGTGTCAACCCGACAAATATTTTGCAAAACAATTTGGGGGTAAGTAACGTTGTTGACTGGGGTAATACTGTTGAAAGATGGAAGATCAGTATAAATGACTAGCATCAACCAGGTGTCATACATACGTCGAACAGCATATGACACGAGATGAAAACCAGTACAGCACGGTCGTACCTAAAATTCTAGGAATGATTAAACTGTAGATTGTATGTGAAATGTGGACCTGTAACGAGGCCATATTGCTGGCAGGTAATTGCCTGATACGTAGGCCTGTGTTAGCCTAACCTCAATTTGGATATCCCGGAGGCCGATAAGTGAGTAGTGATATTGTAGAAGACAGAACATTCAGCAGTATAGTAAATCTGCTAAAAATGTATTATAAGTAACCAATTCCAACAACCCTCATGTAACGAATAACTAAATCTAAAGCAAAACCAGATTTTTTTTTTTTTTTTTTAAGAAAGACCCTTTGAAGAATTGTCATATGTGTACCTTGAACGTTTACCAGTTAAAATTAATTATGTTTAACCGAGTGTATATACCCAAGCATAACAAAACTTTAATCCGGACGGTTGCGACACCTGGGGGACCAACTAGAATGATGTATGATAAAATTCAAATTGGCTGAAGGAGGACCTAGTATCGTATGTGGAAAGAGGCACCGTTGTGATGCTATGGACAACTGAAATCTGCTGATTACAATATTGAGTTAACTGAACTACTGACGTGCGCCACTCTAGGGCATGACCAGCTTGTTTGGGGTATAAGCAGCCTTTCCGGCCGTGGGCGGGAACATTGCGTCTCCTAACTTGTGGTTTAACCGTCATATTTGAGCAAGGCCTAGGTAGTGGCGGGAACAGGGAGTTCTGCAGGGGACCTGGGATGACAGTGTTGGAGTGTCTTTTCAGCAATAGAACGTCACCTGGAACTATTTCTTGCAGCCTCCTGTCTGGGAATTGATGATGGTTAAAAATGCAAAACGTTGATGCACACCGGTAACATCCCTTATGTAGAGCTGGGTTGCTAACTAGTGCCGATAAGCGAAGATATTAATTACTAGTGACCGGTGCGGAACTGCTAGTTCCAAAGCGGCAGTGAGAGGTTCTATTTATGATTTGGGCAGTGCGGCTCATAGCTATGAAGTGTTGTAGCGGGGTGTTAGCCTCTTGGTGATAAGAGTCAATACGTGTGACCGTGACATGTGAGGCCCTGACTACAACCCTGCAGAAGAATATGCGAGGCACTAACTATGAGTTGGACCGTTTGGCGAAACCTCTGTGTAGAGGTCCTTGCGGAATGAGTGTTAATGTATGTGCAAAAGCAATCTGGACTGAATCCGAGAGAGAAGGACTGAAAAAGGCCCCTGATGAAACTGCCAATGCTGATAAGGAACAAAATTGTTTTAAAGGACCACTCTAGGCACCCAGACCACTTCAGCTTAATGAAGTGGTCTGGGTGCCAGGTCCTTCTAGGGTTAACCCATTTTTTCATAATTATAGCAGTTTCAGAGAAACTGCTATAATTATGAATGGGTTAAGCCTTCCCCCTAATCCTCTAGTGGCTGTCTCATTGACAGCCACTAGAGGCGCTTGCGTGCTTCTCACTGTGAAAATCACAGTGAGAGCACGCCAGCGTCCATAGGAAAGCATTGTAAATGCTTTCCTATGAGACCGGCTGAATGCGCGCGCAGCTCTTGCCGCGCGTGCGCATTCAGCCGGCGGGGCGTAACGGAGGCGGAGAGGAGGAGGAGAGCTCTCCGCCCAGCGCTGAAAAAAGGTAAGTTTTTACCCCTTTCCCCCTTCCAGAGCCGGGCGGGAGGGGGTCCCTGAGGGTGGGGGCACCCTCAGGGCACTATAGTGCCAGGAAAAAGAGTATGTTTTCCTGGCACTATAGTGGTCCTTTAAGGGAAATGCAGTTGCTAACAGACGGGGAAAAAATGTGCACTCTATAAGCGGAACGTGAAGAAGAGATCCGACTGTGGTTTAGACTTAAAGATGATATGTCTCGGTATAACAAACATTCTGATCTTTTACCTGATAGGTTTTGGACCGCAAATAGTCTGTATCCTAAGATGCCTACGGGTGTAATATATGTTGACGGAAAACAGCATTCTAGAAAGTCAATATCCCGATGGATATCTTGAAACATAAAGCAAGGTTGTAAAACATGTAACATCAAATTGCGTAATGTATGATTAAATGCGTATGGAGGACCTTGCAAGTGTCAGACATGCAGAGACAAGCCCCTAGTAATGATAAGGGTTTGAATTGTACTCAGTGGTCGTAATGATGGCAGAGTGAAGCCTCGATGTGATGTGAGACAAGTGGGAAACTCTAGTCTACCATATCTTTTAGCAGACATGCCAAAGGCTTAACCTGAATCACATTTGTAGTGACTGACGTAGTCGTGTTTGATTGGTAGCAAATGTATATGAAACATACCTAATGAGAGTTACCTGGCCTGATGTTTGAGACATGATATTACTGTGACTGAACGGTGTATAACCTGAATTGATACCGAAATTAATGACAGGGTACACCGGAACGGATAACCTTTAAGATACGATATTTAAGAGTTGGTATTAATCCCTTTATGGTATAATTAGCACTGGATGTACTGTAATCCCACCTAAAGGGTCACCAAAGTAGTGAATAGTAAAACCCACTTAAATGAATTGTCAGTGGCCTAGCAGAGTAATTGTGAAAGCTGGAAATCAGATAGTACTACATGGACATAAACATATATATGGTCCTAACGTGGATCCACTGCGATGCTTAAATAAGCCAGATGTGTTAACATAAAAGGGGAGTATGGCCTTAATATACGTGTTTAATGAAAAGTACAACTGTCTCTCACTAGCTCACTATTTCTAACTCGATGGCTGCCCACTTTCTTAAACTCAACTTGACCAAAACTGAAAGTCTGGTCTTTCCTCCCTCAAGTGTTGCTATTCCTGTGTCTGTCTCCCTCCAAGTCAAAAGTGCTACCATCAGCTCCACCACGCAGGCTCACTGTCTAGGTGTTCTCTTTGACTCCGACCTCTCCTTCATGCCTCATGTTCAGTCTATTGCCAAATCCTTCTGCTTCCATCTCAAAAACATTGTGCGCATCTGATCCTACCTAACGCCAGATGCGACTAAGGTGCTGGTCCATTCCACTGTCCTTTCTCGCCTTGACTACTGTAATCCGCTTCTCAGTGGTCTCACATGCTCCCAACGTGTGCCGTTACAGTCCATAATTAATGCGGCGGTGAGGCTCATCTTCCTCTCCGCCCGCACCTCACCCTTCTGTTAATCTTGGTTAGAATAGGCTTCCTGTAAGATATAGGGCTCAATTTAAAAATCGACGTTGGCCCGGTGTGGAGGTAAGTTTGAGCTTATATAGATCGGATCATCCCCTCCCACTACGTGCGTGTGTGTGTTACAATGTTAAACAACAATCTGCACACCTGGCAAGCCATAAGACTTGCTTTTCCCACAGAAATCATAAATTTGCAGTGATGTTACTACCGCAAAGGATTCTGGGTGGGCATATGCAAATTATTTAAAGAATCACATTTTTGCCTTATTCCATTTTAAACATGGATTCCTTTAAATCTGTGTTTTCTGTACACAACAGCTTTAAAACACAACTTAGGAAATTATGCAAAGGCAGTGAACCACTCATGGACTGCTGTTTCATTGTTAATGCAATCATCAGCAAGAGGTTGGTTACCGGTTTGCTACTGAGGTTTGGTAGTGCTTGGGAAGCAAAAACCAAGAAGGTTATGGTAGGGAAAAATTGTGATTTATATATGAGAGAGGAAGAGTTTATAACATCCCATATATATATAATGCCATACTTTGCTCATTCAGAATAGACCTCTTTCATCTGTGTCTCAATGGAAGACTGAACTGGGGAGGGAGGCTTCGAAGAAGGGGATTGAGGAGACATCTGTGAGGTTGTTTCTTTGTGTGTTCAACTACAGGAGCAAATGTAAAAAATAATGATCTAGTGGTACTCTAAAGAATAGGACGTACTATGTGTGTATTAATGTTCCTTGGCATTCTCGTAGCCAGAGAGGTTCATTTATACTCTATATTTGAGCCCCAAAGTGGTTCCCTAATAAGATATTGATGTCTTTAGATTAAGACCCCTTGGTGCTATATGCTTTCTCGACATATGGAAGGACTTGCCACCCATTAAAAAATTTTTTATTAAAAATAATGTATGATAAACTAATGTATAAATTAAGTACAGATGAATTAAAATGTTTCTTCTTCATTTCATGACATCTTGGACAGACTTGGAAATTTACCACCTTTGCATAACCTGCTGGTCACCACTTGTCCTGTGGAGTTTTCCCTACTCCAGGGATTGAAAAATTTGTTTGGAATATGGGAGCCAGCTAAAAAAGTTAGCCAGTCATTTTTAACGAGAAAAATGCAATTCTTAAAGGGACACCAGAACCACTACAACTTGATGTAGTTGTCCTTGTCCCTGCAGGCTTTTCAGTGTAAACACTGTCATTTCAGAGAAAAGGCAGTGTTTACATTGCTGTTTATTAACACCTCTAGTGACACGTCACTCAGACTGACACTAGTGATTCCTGGGTCACTGCTACACCAAGTGCAGCATCCACGTTCAGGGTCTCCAAACTCTGCTGAATGTTCCTCGTAGCGATTCATTAATTCAATGCATCTCTATGAGGACATACGAATTGGCACATTTGCTGCGCATGCACAAAATCCATTGGCTTAGCTGAGGTCATAAAGATTGATAATCTCAGCCATGGAGGTGGGACCAGCCGCAGCGAAACTGTCACGGCATGGGAAAAAGGTGAGTAAAACACCTTCCTCATGCGATCGGGGGGAGGCAGACACACACACACACACACACACACACACACACACACTCACTCTCTGACAACAGGCTTGCAAGCACACACTCACTCTGACAGGCTCACACACTGACAGTGACACACAAACACTCAGACAAGCTCACACACACTCTGACAGGCTCACACACACACCCACATTATTGTTTTCATTGAAACCCACTCAGCCTCCATATCTTATTGGAGAGCGGAGTGGGTCTTTCCCTGGGCTGTTATCTTCCTGGGTGCATGAAAGCGGTAATCTTACTGCAGCTCCAATCTGCTCCCTCGCGCTCTATGTAATGATGCCGGGCCGGAGTGACTTCATATTCCGCGAGGGAGCAGATTGGAGCTGCGAGAGTTCTGCTCTCTCGCATGCCTCCTACAATGTCCTCATGCCAGCTGGCCACCTCCGTGCTGATCATTGGTTCCAATATTCGTAGAAGAGCTGGCAAATACCAGGCGCTAAGACAAAATTTCTAGTAGCCTTGGCGACCTAGCACCTGGTATTTGTCGAGCCCTATCCCATTATATTTTTTGTTATTGTCTTCTTTATATATTGTACTTTTATTTATTGTTTGTTGAGCTTGCTGTCTTACCATTTCTCTGTAAAAATTTAAAAATACATTTTATGCATGTCATGCTTGTGCACTCGTTGCACACTGTATGTACTTTGAATGGTTCTTATTTTCTACTCCTGATTCTTTGTACACTTCAAACTTTTGTATGAACAGTCAAGACATAAATAAAGAAAGGGGGGGGTAGGGGGAGGAAGGAAGATGGGCAAATTAAGCATCATTACCGCTGCAGCACACATAGTGGTTAAGCCAAGATTATTTTTATTTATTTTTTACAATTTTGACACTTACCTGGGTCCCCAGTGCACCCACAGTCATTCTAGTTTACTGAGATATTGCTTAAAAATTATCATCACATTTTAGGTCGATCAGTTTTGCCCCTATTAGAACAGTCTTGTCAGGCAATGAATGATATCCAAAGTTGGACAATATTGAAACCTTTTTTAAATAGAAGACATGAAGAACAGACGCCACAAGCTTCAATTAAGTGTCACATTTCTCAAAGAATTTGACCCCTTACTATTAGAGAGAACCATGGGACAGCTTAGAACACCCATGAAGGTGTCGGTTCAAGCTACTTAGGGTTAAATAGCTCAGTGGCTTCCTCTCTTTACTCCCTAAGCTGAAGCCAGGTACTTAACCCCTTAAGGACACATGACAGAAATATTCCGTCATGATTCCCTTTTATTCCAGAAGTTGTGTCCTTAAGGGGTTAAGGAGAACCTGTTTGTTTAAATGGGAATCAATAAGCTTAGGTGAATGATATACTAATATTTCTCTATTCTGTCCTTCATACATATATATGTTTAAATTTACTGCCCTATAATTTATTGCCTTGAAGTATTCAGATCTGTTGGCTGAAGTGTATAGCTATTTATCCTTTAATAGGGATCAGACTCCCTTTGCTGAATACAGACCATCTACTTCTAAGACTGATTTGGCAGTGTAGCAACATATATAGATGATCAGTATACCCTTTGGTATCCAACCATTATTTCAGTTATATAGCGCCTTCAATCTTTCAATAAACTTATTATTTTTATTTTTTTATTCTAAAGGCTCTTTGAGAAAATATATAATGGTTGGGTTCATTATTATTTTTATCTGGTGTACATTCCAAGCATAGTTCCAGATTTACCATTATCACTTGCAAGTTTGTCTGTTATGGACTTTGTATCAAACCAGGATTAGAGTCACTTTAAATTTAGAGACTCTTAGGAATTATTTTATTTGTTTACATTTTGTTTCGTTCAGAACGTGTACATTTGGCTCAGTCCTTAAGGGGTTAATTAGAAGGAAGTATTGTGTGGCACCTAAATTCACTCTCTAGCTCCTAAAATACAGTGATGGTTTTTTTAAGGGGGGGAGGGGAGAGAAAAATAATATATATTATGTACAATTTTACTACTTTTATCAAAATGTTACCTGTGGTCATTCTTCACAGGCTTATTAACCTGTCAACTGTCCAGAACCTCCTCTTATATTTTATTAGACAAGGATATGGATACCACACAGTCTGTATTGGTAGTTTATTGTAAAATAGACTCACCTCACTGTTGTGGCCCCGTAGGTTGAAGTTGATTCTCTGAGGAGTGTTTCTGTCTCTCTGGCAGTGGCTTAAAGTGAATGTAACTCCTACAACGCCTCTTCCATTTCCAGTGGCCAGCCATCCTTCCTCATAGTAACGTCTCCTACATACAGGTTTTTCCTTCTCACTTTTTGGAACCCTTCCTTTCCATGAAAGGCAAAGGATGTTGGAATCACTGCAAAGAACAGGCCCATGCTCTACAAATGCGTGCATGCTTTTATAAGTCCTGACTCACTCCCTTACCTCACCCTCCAGCAAGTAAAAAAATATAAACTAAATAAATCAATTCCCAGAGTCGGGTGCATTTATTTATACAAGCCCAATTTTCTCAGAGTCGTAGCTGACCTTGAGCTGTTTAGAAGGTCAGTGCAGATTTACATTTTCTTAATGCATAGTTGCAGAGCTTCATATACAAAAATGTGAAGTTGATTTGGCTTACAAAACTAGCCAGAACTCTGGATTCTCATGATGAAGGTTGTGTGGTTACAGTTTTCCTTTGGACAATCATCATTGATACAGCTTCCTTTTTCAGAGTGCTGTAAAAACCCGATACTATGCAGTCTTTCACACAGCCTGAGATTCCTATTTCAGGTTAGCTAAAATGTATGTCCCAATGAAAATGCTAACATGCATCCTCAATGGCAAGGATTGAAAAGGTTTAGGTTTCAAGTATTTTAAGGCTTTTAAACGACTCCAATTTCCTTTACAGTCACAATACCACCGTTGAACCTTTGATCATATTCTGACTGTCTGTAATGTTCTAGCAATTTTTTGCTCCCAAGTCATAATTGCATAAAAAATCAGAAGGAGAAGATGCGCACGCGCACACACAGAGCAAAATTATACCAAGGCGCACGTTAAACCACTAAAAAGAAATCCAGTTGTACAAACTAGGTAGGTGGATGTAATCACTATTCATTTACAGTACAGTCACTGCAAATCCAATTTTAGTTCTGCAGCTTACCATTAAAAACTGTTCACATCAAGCTTTCCATCCAAAGATCCCAAAAGGTTGTGATTACATCTGAAAATCGATGAGCATGTGAAAAGTAGCAACACTTGTTCCATTTCAACTCTGCTTTAAGATTTTGTTATTGTTGACCTTGTACAGCAACCTAGGCAGATGTTAAAGAATAGTGCAGCCAGCATTCCATTTATTTTGCAAAGACAATGTGTTCCAATGTTTGTTGCTGAAACTCATCAAGGATTATGATAAGGACATATGATGTGAAAATAATATTGAAATGCTTGTTTAAAACATGTACAAGATTTTTCCCCTTTTCATTCTCTTCTTATTTGAATGTCTCTTCTTCCAGTATTTATATTTTATACACTTAACAGCCCTAATATTTAGTCACTCTTCATTTCCAAGGATGAAACAAGTGGAGGTATGCTCTTCTCTTACAACGCAATCAACCACAAAGTTATGATTGAACTCAGTTAAGTCATTTCAGGAAAAGCAAGTATAGGAGATCGGGAAAAAAAGTAATTACTTTCACGACTCTGTGCACAGGGAAGTCAATCTGTCAGTTCAATGGCTAGACAGCTCTCTCGTTATAGCTATTATGTAGTGCACATATCAACTTTTCAATTTCAACAAATATTTTTGTATTCAATCATTTTTTTTGTGTTTCCCTGGTGTTTTTAAATTTTTCTTACTAGAAATATAAGCTTGGACTCATTTAAAATGTAATTAACTTTTTTCCAGTTAGGGAATACATATTTAGACCTTCGTAAAAGGATTTGGTGTACGTAGCTGCCTGCACTAAATCACACTATAATAAAAAGTCTGCAAATGTCTTCTTTGGACGTATGGTGGCAAATTTTATATAGAGTTAAGTAGATCAGGAGAAATCGGTAGCGGATTCCTGCAAAAGACAAAAAAAAAATATGTAAAAATTTAAATAAAAAGTATGCAAAACTTTAAATTTTACTGTCATAGATAATAAATCAAAATCTGATTTCCTTATTTACATTATAAATATATTTCTTAATGCTTCCAAACATATGGTGACTTGCTTATTGAACATTTCACTTAAAAATCATACGGCATGAGTCCACGACTCATAATAAAGTCTCAAATAATGAGTGAGAGTTTTGGTGGGCTTTGGGTGCATGATTTTTTTTGTTATCAAGCTGCTGGCAGGGGGAAATTACAGCACCCATCGTTCAGAAGCACACTAACCATCACAACACTAAGGCTCTGAAGGTTTCTTTAAACAAATCTCAACAATTCCAATGCACCAGGTTACAATTTCCCCCCCGACAACAGCACAGCATTACTGCTGTGAGGAAGTACTTGATCTGTTTTTACTTGACATAAATCACTTCCAATAGGTCATTACCCACTATTTTTCTTGGGGTTGAGTATGTGATTTTATGTCCTTCTGAAAATCTCACTTTAGACCTTGTGTAATTTAAAAAAATTAAAAAAAAATTAAGAAAATTGGACAGACATGATTTCATATTTTACTTCCTTCATCAAGAACTATTATTTTTTTGCAGAAGCAAGAAGTAGTGTTTGCCAAGGGAAGTACAGATAGCTGTTGTTACTTTCACACAGCACAGATACTATACAATCACTAAACTAAATAAACAAGACAAGGTGATTTGAGGGAGGTGACATGCAGCAGTATAATGTGGGAGAGATAAAAAGTAGATATATGATAAATGGAAGTAATCAAAGATGTTTGAGCATGCATTGCATAGTGTGTGTGTGTGTGTGTGTCTTGGTACTCAATTTTGCCCGTGTCGATCGACACAGAGATAAGAAGGCTGTGTTCTGCAAGTCTTGAAAGGCCTCCTCTGGGTGTCTCACCTGCTTGTCTTTAGCCTAAAGGAAAGCAATTCCTGCAAGGGGAGGAGGATCGAGAGTCAGGATACGTGTTCGATCAACAGTAGCATTGAGAAAAAGAGTTAGAATAATTTCAGGCGTGTGGAAATGTAAAAAGAAAATAATAATTATACTTGTCCAAGGCAACTGTCCCACATTAGCTTTGCCACAAGCAGCTCACTTTCTGTGGGTGGCTGAAATAATGGCATATCTTCCACTATCAGCAGGGCTCAACATTTTAACATTACACTATCAAGTATCCATATGCCATGGACCCTCCAAGGCTTGCAGTGGCAAGTAACTTTTAAGGCCTGGCTAAACAGCCTTTCGATTTAAGCCAACATCTGATTGTCTCAGTCATCACGTTGGCCCATTCATGAAGGCTGTATCCTTACCAAATACCCAATATGGTATTTACTGTCTCCACATGCTTCAATGTCCCCATTGCCTCATAGGCAGAAATGGCAACAACTATCTATGAAAAGACATACAGATGCCACAACTCCCATGGCTAATTCTACTACATCCAAAAGCATCTAAAGGGCTTATTGATTAGCCAGATATAATCTATATATGTTCTTTCTATGGAAGTCTGATCCCTTCAAACATGTTACGCTGCATATTGCATGTCACCCAGGTGCATTCACTCAATAAGCTAGTGTTCTAGTTTATTCTTTTCTTTTATGTGGTTTGGTTTAATGGCACATAGTTGATTCTGATTAAGTTTGAGCTACACTGGGGTTATCAGTCTTGCAGCAAACATTGTAATCCTCCAGTGGCTTTATGGAATAATCTACAGATTCTATAAGATTTGGTATTACGTACAGCTATATTTTTTTTCTTTAGTTTGGTTTGACCTGTTTGACCTTGTTTTGGCGTATATCTGTGTGTAAATATTGGTGAACACTCAGGTCTCAATAAATACATGACTATCTCTTTTCATGCTGGCCCATGCGTTGTGAAGTGGCAAATCTAGAAGCTACAAATTCAGTATTATTTGTGTTTCCTATTTAATTATTGCCTTCATTGTGGCCTGCTAGTGCGGTCTCTGCATTGAGTGGGTTGTCGTGACTGATTAACCCTGCAATATGTGATAATTCCTGAACACAAATATTGAGATTCATGCACTTAGTCGATTGCTCATTAATCTAAGTAAAACATTTTTGATTGCACGGATTTGCATACTGCATACTGGTGTAGCCATAGTTACCGTTGTATATACTGGATACCTGGTAATATGAACAGAGATTCTATATGCCCTATTGTAACTTAAACTCAATCAAGCAGTCTTACAGCATTTAATTCTTGATCCTGACCTAATCCCCTCCTTCAAAAGCGGACTCTGGACGCTGATTATTCAAGGCAAAACAAACGTGGAATAAGAACAAAAGGTGTGTATAGTCTGTTTGAAACAGAGAATAAGAAATCAGAGTAAAAGGAATTATTTCTTTTTCCTATGTTTTTTTTTTTCTCCATTTCTCTGTCTTTTAGGGCTTTCTTTAATATAGCTAGGACTTCTTTTGCTATGATAGTACCATCACTTGCTTTTATGAGACCAGGAGCACCAAGACAGGGTTTTGCAGTATTCTTTCCTGCAGAGCGGCTGATGGGAACTGTAGTCATAGTAGTCATTATCAGTCTTTCCATGAAAGGTTCTTCCCCAGTTTCTTCGTCAGAGCGTAGTTCATCAAAAATATAATTTTCGTCTACCAGGTAAGAATATAGGGAGTTGTCTGAAGAGTAGTGGGTAGTCATTGTAGCCGTCTTAAAGGACCACTATAGGCACCCAGACCACTTCAGCTTAATGAAGTGGTCTGGGTGCCAGGTCCAGCTAGGATTAACACTTTTTACTGTAAACATAGCAGTTTTCAGAGAAACTGCTATGTTTACCTATGGGTTAATCCAGCCTCTAGTGGCTGTCTCATTGACAGCCGCTAGAGGGCTTCTGCGCTTCTCACTGTGATTTCCACAGTGAGAAGACGCCAGCGTCCATAGGAAAGCATTGATAATGCTTTCCTATGAGACTGGCTGAATGCGCATGCGGCTCTTTGGTTTTATACAAGAGCTTGATTGTAGTAGCAATGAAACAGTCTTGCAAGGTTTTAAGAGGATTTCAGCAATGATTGTTAGAACACTGGTTAACCCTGTAGTCTCCGGTTTAGGGCCTTTACATTCTGTCATGTTCTTGGGCAGGTCATAGAGGAGACTATTGCCAGGGTTAGCGGTTGAAACTTTGTCTTTTTAGACATAATTTACTTGAAAGAAAGAATTAAGGCAATATGCCACAAAAAGGATATCTTGAAAGTAAATGAATAAAGTCTTTTATATATACACACACAAGTAGGTTTGACGTTATCCCCAAATAGATTAGTAGTCTGTGGAATGTCACGCTGCAGCCAGGTTAAGGATGATACATGGTTGAAATGGTTAAAGCTGGTCAGAATAATATAGTACAGGTTGCTTACAGGATTATGCAGAGTTGCAGTAGTTGAGTGAGACAGGTAAATAGATTCCAGTATATTGTAATACAGGTTGCTGACAGGATAATGCAGTGTTGCAGCACATGAAACAGGTAAGCAGATTAAATATGGTAGATCAAGCAGGTAAGTCACTTCAGATTGAAATAATGCAGATAAATACAGGATGTTTTCAGGAGCCAGAATCAGAAGTTATATGTCAGAACACTGACTTCAATGTAAAAGGCCATGTGAAGAGTTGGGTGTGGCCTTTTATAGCAGACTTGGAAGATCATATGAGGCAGGTGAGAGGAGATGAGGATTGATTAGTGGCTAGGGAGGCCACTAGAGGCGAGAAACTGGTATTGCATCAATAAAATAAAACAATAACTTGGCTCTGCTTAGTATTTCTTAAAGGACCACTCTAGGCACCCAGACCACTTCAGCTTAATGAAGTGGTCTGGGTGCCTGGTCCATCTAGGATTAACCCATTTTTTTTTATTTTTTATAAACATAGCAGTTTCAGAGAAACTGCTATGTTTATAAATGGGTTAATCCAGCCTCTAAAGCTTCTAGTGGCTGTCTCATTGACAGCCGCTAGAGGCGTTTGCGTGCTTCTCACTGTGAAAATCACAGTGAGAAGATGCCAGCGTCCATAGGAAAGCATTAAGAATGCTTTCCTATAAGACTGGCTGAATGCATGCGCATTCAGCCGAAGAGGAGGCAGAGAGGAGGAGGAAAGCTCCCCGCCCGGCGCTGGAAAAAAGGTAAGATTTAACCCTCTCCTCGCCATCCAGCCCGGCGAGTTTGACCCTGAGGGTGGGGGCACCTTCAGGGAACTATAGTGCCAGGAAAACGAGTATGTTTTTCTGGTACTATCGTGGTCCTTTAATGTGAAGTATTTAACACCCTTGAATAGCACTCAATGGAGTGGTCTGATTTCAAGCACCTTAGGACAGAGTTGGCCTACGTTTAAGAAACTAATTTCAGAGCTAATTTTGCTCCTAATCTCCAAAACTGTAAATACCCAGTAGGATAGTTTAGTAATTCAACAGGGGTGGTGTGGCCATGCTGTTAGTTGCAAATATCACATTCAAGTCACCAATGATCAGGGTAGATAAATGCCACACTATGGTTACCTTTGCTAATATATGTATTCCCAAAAAACCCAAAATGCAATAAATTCGGTAACATATGGGGACACTGCCACCGCCTTTCCTCATTCTGTACCAACACGCAGATGGTTTATCTAGAGATCAACCTCAGCTTGACTGTTGGAGGACTGTAGGTATGAGAGATAATTTGTTCTATTCCCCAGCCACTAAGACATACTCAAGGCTGGACATGTTCTTCCTACACCATAGGTTTTTAGTTCGTAGAGAATAACCCAAAGTACACCAGAGTAAACTTGTGCAGAAAAATATATTTTAAAAAAAAAAACTCCTTGCACTCAAGCTTAATGTACTAAAAGGCTGAAAAACTTCCAGCCCATATTCTTTTTCTACTTGCCAGGTGCCAGTCCTCTGAGGGGGATTGATATCCACACGAAAATTTGAGCTGCACTCACGGACTTCCAGTTAAAAAATTCCTCTTTAATTCATAAAATAAACAAATCAACGTTTCAGTCCGCACAGGGACCTTCCTCAGGACAAATATTGGTGATTCTAACATAGTTTGGCAATCACATATTCCGTCTCTCCCCATGTCCCGATCTCTTCCATTAGGAGACTTCATTCACTTATATGTGCTAGTGTGCTTTCACATTGTTGTCCTATTAGGTCTGCTGTACCGGATGATTAGGCTAATTTTCTTACGCCGCATGCGTCCTGTGAAAGGGAAAAAATACATACTATGCCAGAGATCATGTCTAGCTAACATGGTTGTTTATAGGATTCCTCCCCACTTTTGGTCTCTTCGCATCACCGTTGTTATGAGCGACGGATTCAGTAAGTTTAACCACGTCAGACATACGCAATGACGTCCCATAAACCCGGAAGTAACTCTGTACGTGCGGTAGACCTTTCGGTTTCTTTCTCGTCCCCCTTTACACTTCTATTTTTTAATTAGGCTACAATTTCCTTATTAAGACATATGGTATATAAATAGGAACATAGACCATAATGTTAGAGATCCCCCTGAAGAAGGCTAGACGCTGAAACGTTGGAGTTGCTTTATCTCCTGCTCTGGGTCAGAATTTCTGAATTATTATTTTTTTTAGCACAATGGTTGGGGGAAGGATGTTAAAACACCTCATAAACAATACCCTGGAATGTCTACTTGATAAAAATATATACTTTCATGATGGTAACACTAACTAGGGGATGCAAAAATACACCAAAGTGAAGATAGGCCAAACATACCTATATATCAAGTTGAAAAACTGACATGCAGAAGTCTCTATCGTGGCCTTTTACCCCCCCCCAAACAACCCAGCAAACCTATGCATGGGTGCTATCACTGTACGCAGGAGATGTTGCTGAACACATATTGGGGTGTTGCTTGGCAGGATATATTAATTCATGCCTAAAGCACAATGTGTGTGAAAAAAAAAAAAAAAAAAGGTACTACCCAAAAGTTTGACAAAGGCTGGTGGTAGAATTCAGTGCATGAAAAGTGTTACAATACCACCATTTAAAATATAGTTTTCAAAAATATATAGTTTGATGGGGGTAAAATACATTGGCCGGCTTCAAAAATGTCCCAAATAGGACATGGGCACAGGTTGACTACATGTCAAAATTCCAAGTTGGTAAAACGGATATGCGCACCTGCCAAATTTGGCCTTTTTAGACCCTTAACAACCCGACAAGCCTATGCATGGGTGGTATCGCTGTACTCAGGAGATGTTGCTGAACACCTATTAGTGTGTTTTTTGGCAGCAACACATAACATGATCTGTGACTTTATACCTGAATTGCAATGTATGTGAAAAAAATAAATTAAATAAAACTCTGAAGATTGGTGGTAAAATGGCTACATAGAAAGTGTCAAAATATCCTTAGATAAATACCTTGGGTTGTCTACTTTAAAAAAATTTTTTTTAAAAAAAAATGTACCTGTGGGGTATTTTTCTGAGATTTATGACAGATAACAGTGTTACAATGTCACTATTAATAAATTTTAAAAATGTACATTTTGAAACAGCAATATTCTACTTGTACTTATAGCCCTATAACTTGCATGAAAGCATGTACACACTGGGTGTTTTTAAACTCAGGACAAAATTTTAAATCTAATTAGCAGTTTCTTTCATTAGCTTTTGTAGAGGCGTAAAAGATTTTTCAAGTAAAGTCAAAACATGTATGTTTGTTTTCAATTTTTCACCATATTTTATTATTATTGAATTATACTTTGCATTGTTGCATAGGGAGGGCCTGACCTGTCAATCTTATGCTTTAGTAGTCACCAAGAGGCCCTCAACCCGCCACCCGTATTTGGGTGGCCTCTTCCTCCCCTCGGGCCAATGCATAGATAGAGCCTCTCATATCGCTTGGCAACTAACATGGCCTCGCCTGTCACCCTCGTTAGTTAAATTCTTTGTCACTTGTCAATAGCTAGCCTGCAGGTACGTAAGAATCATACTAATGGTGGCTATGCATAAATCGTATGCCTCGAGTTCCCAACACCTCTACAAGGTCTGGTGCTCCATCTCACAGAGTATATACACAGTTAGTCTGGCATCCCTTAGAGAAGGGACATCTCCACGAATCACAGTGGGACTCGGCAACTGCATGGGACGCTGGCAATCATCCTCTTATACATTATCTATACCGGAACCGGTTAGGGATTTTTCAGGCATATCGTGACTTCTCCAAGTAATTTTGAGGTATTGTAGAACAAATATATTTGTATGGTACACTTCTTTACACCCTCTTTATTGCAGGCCTACTGCATCGTTGGTTCCGGCACACCACAACTGACCGGTGCTACTGACGAAGATGGTCTATTGCTAATTATGTGTTATCTAACCATTACGACAATATTGCCCCAACCACAAATACAGAATGTCCACAAATAAGGAAATAATTTTTGTTCAACTTAGAAGATTTTTTTAGCCCTTCACCTCGGCACTTGTGTATACACAATTGCCAGAGTATGCATTCATACTCCACAATCATGTATCCAAGATTTGCATAATTGCAAACAAACTTCATTAGTAAATTATGCCTTTGCACAGTCCTTAAAGTTACAGCTCAGCAGCACCAAAAGCCACCAAGCTGTGAACTTTTTAGTTCTGAACACAGTTCTCTCTGTTCTGCAGCACCTCTGTCCCTCAGAGTGGATACAGTTTCTGTTTGATGAGCGGGGGTGGACTGCCTCTCTCCTTTCACTAATCTGTCATGTATGCTGTCCCAAGGAGAGAGTGGCAGTCTTTGCTTGTTGCTTTCCTGGTTTTCTTTTTTGTCGCAGGGGGGTGAGGGAGGGCGCAAGGGAGGGCTGCTGAATCTCTGTTTATGTTTACAGTGAATTGGCTACGAATGCTGTGGTCCTGATTTGGGGGCATGGGGGGCTGGAATATCTGTTCTTGTTTCACCCTGTGTTCATAGGGAGCAGCTGGTTACACTAAAATGACAGCCAGTCACCTTCAGACAATAAGATGAATGGAGAGTGTGCTATAACTCCTGCCAATCTGCTCTTCCCTGCTCCATTGCTATGTCAAGCTGTACATCACAAAGGAGCAGGATGATGGTTAATGTCAAGAATCACACTAACACCACCAGGATAAATGTAGGTGTGTGTGACAGCATATGTGTCTGACTGTGTGTGTGTCTGTGTGTGATAATATGTGTCAGCATGTGTATGTGTTTGACACCGTATTTTGATGTTTGTGTAAGCATGTATATTGGTCTCAGCCATTGTGTTGCTGTGTGTGAATGAGAATGTCTATGTGTGGCGGCAGTGAATATCTGTCTTTTCTGGCAGCTATATCAGTGAGTGGTTGGAATATCTGTTTATATATGTGTGTTGGCATGAGACAAATGTGTGGATACATGTATGTACATATTTTAGTGTGTGTATTCAAGATGTAACAAGGGTGATATGGTATGGTCAACATCCTGACAACATATATTATAACTATACAATACACCAGCGGTTCCCAAACTATGTGATGGGCACACAGGGGAGCCGTAAGATATTTTCCCGGAGTTATGATGATAGCACCGGGAACCGTGCCTCCCTCTCCCCTGCCAGCTCTGCAGGACTGGAGGGGAGATCAGAGATCTCCCTCTCCAGCCCGCTAGCCGTGTAATGTTGGCAGCCAGCAAGGGGAGGGACAGAGGACACGGGCGAGCTCTAAGCTGCAACTCCGCCGGGTTCTCATCTCGCGAGCTAGGGGTGTTGCTTTGGTTACTGTGGAATCTCTCGAGAGTGACCTCTAGCAGCTCCTGAGGCTGCTAGAGTTCACTCTCACCCCCTTGGGTTTCTCCAGCGGACCACCAGAGATGTCTTGTACTGTCCCTCCCTCCCAGGCAAAGCTAAGCAGGGAGAGGGGATATGAAAATAATTATTTTATTTATTTAAAAAAAATAAAAAGGATATATTTGTCTGCTCTCCTACCCCCACAAACCAACAATAACTCCCCCTATACACACAATTGCCCCATCATACACACACACTGCCCCTCAATGAACCTGCCCCTACACACATTGAACCACTCGCACAAACTGCCCCACATACACACTGCATCCTTCACAAACACAATGCTTCACAAACACAATAAAGCCAGGGTGAATAGCGTTTTCACAACTATGGTGTTCCTTTAACCCCTTAAAACCGGAGGACGTACAATTACGCCCTCTAATAGGCGGCTCTAAACACCGCGGGGCGTAATTGTACGCCCTCCGGTTTTTGTTAACTTACCCGGTCGCCGGCGGTCCCACGCCGGCGATCGCGGTGGGGGGGACTCCCAGGGAGCCCCCCCCGCGGCAGATCCTTCTCCTCCGGTGCTCCCCGGCCATGTGAGAGTGGGGTCCTAGCGAGGACCCCACAATCACATGGCCGGGTAGGCTGCCTCCTGCATTGCCAGCAGGGGGGCTGCCTGTAATGACAGGTGGTCCCCCTGCTGGCTGAAAATAAAATTAAAATTACATTTATTGGTGTAAAAAAATAATAATATATACTTAGATCATATGTATATATTATATATATATGATCTAAGTATATATATACACATATACATACACACACGTACACCGTCTAGGTGTATTTTACTATTAATATATATATAATGATATATATATTAATATCAAATTACACGTAGACTGATACTGATTAAATATATATATATAATTATTGTTATATATATATTTATATATATTATAAAAAAAAATTAAAATGTAAATACGTTAAAAAATAAAATTTAAAAAATAATTAAAAATAAATAATTAAAAAATATATAGATGTGTGTTATTTCGTTCTAACTGTTTTGTGAAATTAATATATATATATATATCAAAATACACGTAGAACGAAATAATATATCTATATACATAAATATATACGTATATATCACTATATATATATACCTATATATAAATAAAAATATTTAAAAAAAATTATAGATATATACATATATATACACATACGTATATATATACATATATTAATTCTACATATATATTTATGTAATATTTTTACATAATTAGGTATCTTAATTAATTACAATTAGCAGGACCTGCCTGACAACCCATGCCGAAAGTAAAGGGAATTTAATTTGCTAGCACTATATTTAACCCTATAACTTTCCGAGACACCATAAACCTGTACATGGGGGGTACTGTTCTACTCGGGAGACTTCGCTGAACACAAATATTAGTGTTTCAAAACAGTAAAATGTATTACAACGATGATATCGCTAGTAAAAGTGACGTTTTTTGCATTTTTCACGCACAAACAGCATTACACAGACAATATTATTGCTGTGATACTTTTTACTGTTTTGAAACACAAATATTTGTGTTCAGCGAAGTCTCCCGAGTACAACAGTACCCTTCATGTACAGGTTTTATGGTGTTTTCAAAAGTTACAGCGCCAAATATAAGGCTTGCGTTTCATTTTTTCACATTAAAATTCGCCAGATTGGTTACGTTGCCTTTGAGACCCTATGGTAGCCCAAGAATGAAAATTACCCCTATGATGGCATACCATTTGCAATAGTAGACAACCCAAGGTATTGCAAACGGGGTATGTCCAGTCTTTTTTAGTAGCCACTTAGTCACAAACACTGGCCAAAATTGGCGTTTTTGCATTTTTCACACACAAACAAATACTAACGCTAACTTTGGCCAGTGTTTGTGACCAAATGGCTACTAAAAAAGACTGGACTTACCCCATTTGCAATACCTTGGGTTGTCTACTATTGCAAATGGTATGCCATTATGGGTGTAAATTTCATTCCTGGCTACTATAAAGTCCCAAAGGCAACGTAACCAATCTGGCGAATTTCAATTTCAAATGTAACGTGCTATATTTGACCCTGTAACTTCCCAAAACGCCATAAAACCTGTACATAGGGGGTACTGTCTTACACGTGAGACTTTACTGAATATAAATATGTGTATTTTATTGCAGTAAAAACAAACAGTATTATGACACTGACCGTTAAAATGTCATGTAGAACTAAAAAAATCCCCCAAAAACGTATTTTCTCCCATTTTTTTTCATATTAAATTATGTTTCATAGCTAAATATTTGATATTAAATGAAAGCCCTGTTTCCCCTGAATAAAATGATATATAATAAGGGTGGCTGCATTTAATATGAAAGAGGTGTATTACGGTTGGACAGACATGTAGCGCAAATGCCAGGTTTTGTTTACATTTTGTTTTGTTCACAATGTGTACATTTGGCTCCGTCCTTAAGGGGTTAAACAAATTAAAGGAACATTCTTGTCACCATAACAACTTCATCTAAATGAAAATGCTATGATGCCAGTAAGCCCTTGGGTGCTCTCTTTCCTTTAAGGGGTTAAACCACTCTCAAATGGTTTAACCCCAAAGGCTTCCTCCAGCTCCAGATTTCCAGATCGCTCAGTGGTATTCGGCTTTTGAAACGGAGTGTCAGGAAGTGCAGTTGACATCAGGCATGGGTGCTACAGATTGGCTAGAGTGGTCAGTTGACGCTCTAAGCCAATCGCTAGTTCCTGGTTCATAAAAATGTTTTTTAACTTTTTTATGAATGGGGAGCTACTGATTGCCTTAAGAGTGCCAGCTGACCGCTCAAGCCAACCAGTGACATCCCTCCCCAGCGGCACTCTATGCTTCCTGACACTCAGTAAATAAAAGTGAACACATTAACACTGATTTTTTTTTATTATTTTTTTTTACCTGGGGAGATGAGAAGGTCCAAAGTTTCCCTGCCAGGCCCAGGTACCAAAGCCTTATGATATGGTGTCCAGAATGAAGTGGAGGGATCACTTCACTTGTCCTTCCTGCTACAATCTCATTTTCTTCTCCTTCATTTGACACAGTCTTTTTTTTTTCCTTCCGACACTGTCTTCTCTCCTTCTTTGCTCTTTCTGCTCCTTTACCTTTCTGCTTATTTTGCTTCCCCTTCTGCTCCTTTCTCTTTCTGATCCCTTTCTGCTCCTTACAGACCTTTACCTTTGAGCTCATTGCTGTCCCTTTCTGCTCCTTCTCCTACTTTACCTTTGTACTCCTTCTGATTCTTTCTGCTCCTTTACCTTTGTGCTCCTTCTGTCCCTTTCTGCTCCTTGCAGACCCTTCCTGCTCACTTCTGTTCCTTTTACTACTTCCCCTTTTTGCTCCTTCTGTTCCTTCCTGCTCATTGCTGCCATTTTCAGCTCCTTGCTGACACTTTTCAGCTCCTTCTACTTTACCTTCCAGCTCCTTGCAGACCCTTCCTGCATATTTGTGTTCCTTTGTGCTTATTCTCCTACTTTACCTGTTGTGCTCCTTGCTGCCACTTTCTGCTCATTTCTATTTCTTCTACTTTCTGCTCCTTCTCTTACTTTACCTTCCTGTTCCTTGCTGACCCTTACTGTAGTCTGTCCCCCTCATATGCCTCACTTACCTGGTCTGTATGTGTTGCTCCCCTGCAGATTCAGTCAGGAGAGAGAAGCAGGGATAAGATGCAGCTTCCTATCCCTGTCTCTCTCCTACTGGCCGGCGCCGGTATTGCACTGTAATTTTCAATCTCACACGAAAAATAGCAGAACAAGCTGAAAAATCCAAGGGGACGACCATGCCCTGTACACTTACTGTACCCCACACACACACACACACACACACACACATTGCACCCCTCAGACACACCAGTGTCCCTATTCCCTACTACAGCCCCTATCCAGGCAGATCCCAGGTAAATTGTCATACTGTTCTTAAACAGTTTGACTACTTATTCTGAGAGGCCATTACTGGCACAATAACCACGACAAAGTGCTGTAGTGGTTATTGTGCCTGGACTGTTTCTTTAAAAATTCTACCAGTGCCCCTACCCAGATTAGGTTTTGGATCTGCGCTTGAACGGCAAGCATTTCTGCCGAACAGGGGCCCAGTATATGTCGCTGCGCTGTACCTATATACAACCGAAGAAATTGTTTTAACCTGGGTCACCTTGGAAAAATATTGAAATAGTAAGGGTGCCTTAAACCTAAAAAGTTTGGGATCCACTGCAATACACATTTAGTAATTTACAGCACTGATTCCTTGCCTGTTACTTCGTTATTTATTATTTACTAAAGGTTTTTCTGTCCAATCAAAATTTTAATTTTTGTTTCCATTTAATAATGAGCTATTTATACATACATTACTTCCCAGAACACCCACATTATTCAGATTCTGGAGATATTATTCTTGCAGATAGCTTGGAATTGAACAGGTTAAGGTCTTTAAGGGGTATCCTGACCAATACAACCCATACATATTAGGATTACAATGGAAATCTAATGCATGAGAACATAAAACCAACATCACATCATCAATGAGGAGGAAGCCTTTTCGAATTTAATTGATCATTATAGTAAAAAAACAAACAAAAAAAAACCACACATGTAAATGTCCCTGTTTTGCGATCAAAAAATGACATCCTGGGAGTTTGGATACAACATCCTTTTATACAAAATGTAAATTCAGTCTCAAAGATACACATTTCCATTAATGACAGAGAGGCCAGCTTATATTTCAGAGACCTGCTGCACTAGGGAATTGAACGTAGCAGCAGTCTCGCATTGTAAATGATTTCCCTGTCTTCCATGGGCTCCCAACAATCTCTCCAAAAAATGGATTACATACACTAATGATATGTGAGGCAGACGGCAGCCTATACAACACTGCTGTTGGTGCCATTTACGCACTATAATAATGCGGGGTGTGTATTGTGAGTAGGGAATTTAATATTTGTATCTTGATTTGGAACTACAAATAATTCAGATATTCATGTAATGAGCCCACACGTATGTTTGTGTACAGAAATTAATCTATATATATAAGCGCCCCCTTCCGTGGCCATATCTTCATTGGATTTTACAGAAATAACTTCACTCACAGCCTGCATTGCAACAGATATGGAAAAACAAACCAGAAATAGATTTGTCATTATCCATGCATCCAAATTTACATACAGCGATTCATGGCCACACACTACAGCTTGGCTTCTACGATAGATGGTAGCGATCAGCCAGTGGAAAAATAGAACGTACGATCTTTTTTACTTCCATTCCCTATTTCTTACATCTATATTACCTAGCATCATTATTAACTATTCATGCCTATTGGTACGTTTTGCACCTTACCTCTTTGCAGAAGCAGACCTCCTTTGCCACTTATGTCTTCAATGCAGGGCCTATGTCTCCTCCTAGTCCCCCTCCTCCTCAATCCCACCAGACACGTGATCGTGTCACATGATTGCACTCCCCAGCCTTCTTCCTGCTCCCAGCTGTCTGTCACTTTTCCCCTCCTCCTTCTCTGCCATCCCTTGTTGTGTGACAGGAGACATGATGTTATAGCTGTAGCTGTGCTAAAAGATCGCTCGTGTTGCTGCTACTGCATTCTGCCATGAAGGGTTAATTCAGGCTTGCAGCTTCACAGTCAGTTGCTCTCTGCCTCTGACCTAGTAACGGTAGGTAGATAAACCTATTGATATTTTGATACTGTGAAATAAAAGGTTTTATCAGGATTCAGATCAAATCACCTTATATAATAAGAATTATTATTTTTTTTTTTTTTTTACTATTCCCTTCATATTTTAGGGTGTATACTGTTGGTAATGTTAATGCATTGCCTATAAGATATGATGCCATTTGCATAAACAATGACAAGGGTCAACAAGACAAGAACCTGTCCTTGCTGAGATTACTCACTAACGCTTTGTCCTATGTACAGATATCCTGTCCGTCATATTTTATTTGGAGTTAAAATTCAAAGGACATGAGGGTTGAATGGTGCAATTAAAGTGAAACATAAATAAACACAAGCAAACTTTTTTCATCAAAATATTTTATTTATTAACTTTAATAATACACCTTGGAGAATGGCCGTGAACCTTTATTACGGATTTCATAATTCCAAATAAACAATAACCATACCAAAAATAATAAACCATAACTTTAAACCAAACCAACATATTAACCATAACCACTTTCCAGCCTCCGCCCCCGCTCCAAAGTCAGTAGCCATAAATATATCTTAAACCAAATCCACCCTCCTGTGATGACCAGGAGGGCAACTTATATCCCAACGCCACAAAGGTTCTGGGCTACCAAACGCGGTGGCCCCCCAACCAGTGGTGTATTTTGGATTTGTGCTGCCCCAGGCACGACTAAATTCGGGCACCCCCAAAATCTAAATTTGCCTCCCCAGTTTGTGTCAAGGCCATTTTTTTGACTGACAGACACATGCCCTCATTGATACATGCACTGATATACACTCACTGACAGATACACAGTCATTGGCACAAACATACAGTCATTGACACTGTAAAATCTGGTTGGAATCGTCACTGTTAGAATTTCTTCTTCTTAAAGCGGCACTGTCATGCCGAAACCCGTTTATTTTTTAACCCCCCTCCCGCCTCCACTACATCCAATTGACCCACTAGTCACCCCCAAATGCCCCTAAGCCCCCCACATTACCTATTTTTTAATCCTTATTTTCTGCCCCGATCTTGATTCAGGGCGCCGCCATCTTTGTGTGGGTAGGTGAAGTCCCTGTGGGACACGTCATCAGCCCACACTAGACAGACTGTGAGATTCCCGCACATGCCCAGTGAAACACCTGGACATGCGAACGGGAATTTCAGCTATTCATTCATTCATCAGACAGACGAATGAGTGAATAGAAAGATCAGCCGAACAAACAAACACAATGTATCAGTGTATCTGAGTATCAGTGTATGTTTGTTCGTGCAGTTTATTACAAGGAGGGAGCTACCGGCGTGCAGCTCCCTCCTTGTAATATGTAACTATAGAAGCGGCAGGGAGCAGTGCTCCCCACCACTTCATAAGCCCCCCAGTACCCCCTCTCACTCTATGGGGGTCAATATGACCCCCATAATAGCACAAGAGAGATTTAAATCTCCCAAATGCCCCTACTCACTATACCGCGAGTAGGGGCATGTCTACTAAACAGTGAGCAGCCTATGGCTGCTCACTGTTGAAAAAAAAGACATAAATTACAATAAGGGGGGGCGGACCTATTGTCCTCCCCCCCTCCCCCACCCTGAGCGGCGGGTGGGGGCCATAAAGATAATGGGGGGGGGACCTACTGTCCTCCCCCCCCCGGCCCCCACCCCTGAGCGGCCCTAATAAAACAATGGGGGGGGCTACTGTCCTCCCCCCCTGGCCCCCACCCCTGAGCGGTGGGTGGGGGCCCAATAAAACAATAAGGGGGGGACCTACTGTCCTCCCCCCCTGGCCCCCACCCCTGAGCGGTGGGTGGGGGCCCTAATAAACCCCCTCTTGGCCGGTGGGTGGGGGCCCTAATAAACTCCTGGGGG